TATATATACACACGAATAGATTAATATAATTTAGGAAAAAAAGAATAGATTAATATATATAAATATATACATATATATAAAGAGAAAAGTGTGTTGAGAGAGAACCCCATATGTGTGGAGACCAAAGCAGAACAAAGATACTGGTTGGTCTTGACGATATCGCGAAATCAGCCTCCAGAACTAGGGTTTTAAAATGATCATGGTGACTAGGGTTTCAGGCAGAGATGGTGATACAAAAAGGAGAAGAAATGAAAGATTCTAGGGTTTTTAGGCAGATATGGTGATACGGAGAGGAGGAGAAAAGAAAGTTTGCACACACAAAGAGAGAGAGAGTTCGCAGAGAGAGAGAGAGGGGCAGATGATATCTGTGGTTTTAGAAGATTAGATAGGTTGTTAATCTGGCGCCACTTGGCGCTAAATTGTGGTGCAAAATTTTGAGGGGTAATTGTGTCATTTGACATGTAATGATATTTTGCAATAAATTTGAATTTAATATTAAGGGGCAATTTTGTATTTTTATATAATTTAAGGCCTAGATTGGTTGAAATTTTTTCAAGGGGGTGTCATTGTCCTAAAAACAAATAACTTTTACCTGAGTATCCTTATGCAAAACCTCAGGGAGTGTTAATGTACTTTACCCTAAATCTTAATTGATCGTAAATAAAAAGTAATATGATTTCGTTCTAAAACATTCAGTGCAAAGAGATGAATTTAATATATTTTTCACTACTTTATCAATTTTTAATATTAATTTAAATTATTTTTCTTATATAGATCATTGTTATGGAAATTGTAAAATCATTAAAATTTAGACGGTGTTGATTCTGAGATTTTATTGCAATGTAAGGTAAGAATCTTTCTTTAATCTTTAAGTTGTAATTATTTTTATTTTTTTTATTTATTTATTTTTTTTTTTAAATGCCCTAAATGTTTTAACAGTTTAATACCGTTGTTTATATCTTATCAAATATTTGAATTGAATTATTGCAATGAATTGGTTTGCTCAATTGTTAGGGATTCTAATGGACACAATTCCTTACAAAGCTCTTTTTGGACAAGGCATGTATTACACTTCACATACTCATTCTTTTTTCGTTTGTGTATCTATAATGTTGCTTCAATGCAAATTTATGATTTTTTTCCTTCTTTATTTTCAGGTTTTGTTGCTGATGTTCTGTTCTCCTTGCAATGTCACAAACATACATGAATTTTAGTAGTGAACCTATAAGTAACTCATGTGTCTACTTAGCATTTCCTAAATATGTTTTTTTTTTTCTTCTTCATATAGAACTTAAATCATTTCTGGTTATTTGTCCTGTTGATTGTTAAATATTAATGGTTTGAGCTATATATCTTCTTTTTTTTTTTGTGATTTTTATACACTGTTTTTCTGGGTTACAAAAAAAATATATTTTTGGAACTGGAAGAGTTTTAATTCTTATATCAAATGTTGATATTTCATAGACTTAGAAGTTATGTGGAGGCATTTGATAGTCCTATAATTTTTAAGTTTATTATATATATATATATTTAAAATGTCATAGAACGTATATCAATCATTGAAGAACTAAAATAAAAATACAAATTATTTGGACTCTACAAAAGAATCTGTAGAAACCGTATCTCCCATTTAAAGCCAAAATAACAATATTATAACATTATATATATATATATAGTGGAAAGGAAAGGCAAAGAAAATAAATTTTATTATAAAATAGAATGTACAAACATCAAAGGCCAATGGAAAATTAGTTGTGTCTAATAAAAGTTCAAAGAGTGCAACATAACTAATACAAGTATTTTAATTATTTCCAAGATAATTGAACAAGTATGTGTGTTTCTATATATATACATGGATACAAAGTATGTTTTTTTTTATAGAAATTGTTTGGTAATTCACATTTATTGTAGTAAATAATTTTTTTTAATTATTATAATGTAATTGTTCGTGAATTAGTTCCTTTTTTTTCTCTCTCTGCTCATGAATTAGTTCATGAATGATTTTTCTCTTTTTCTTATATATATTCTATTCATTTATCCTTTAATTAATTTGATTTATTTATATCAATTGTACTATTTTTTCACTGCACACAAGATTGGAGTACATATTGAATTTGTTAGTTATGTGTTGATTTTATTTATTAGTTCATTTGTTAATTAGATTTATTTACTTCTCTTTTTATTTATTATTACATACCTATAGTTGGAGTTAAAGTATTAAACTTAATTAGTAAAGTATTACATACATGTTTATAAAACATATTTATTTAAAATACTTTACTAATTAAGTTTAGCTATATATGAATTGAGTTTTTTACATCTCTTATCAAATATGTTTATTTGGATTATAATATGCTATTGTTTATTATTTTTAGTCATAAAAAATATATATCTATATATTAATCACACTAAAAGGCACAAATTAGAAGAAAAAAAAACTTTTAAACGTGTAAGTTTTTTTTTTTTTTTTTTCTTATTTCTAAATATTTTTCTTATTTTTTAAAACAAAATATAAAAAATTTAAAGATAATGTTTAATGGGGAAATTGAAGGAAACACCAAATCAACTTCCCAATTTCATTTATTTATTTATACATTTTTACTATTTTTAAGTCAAGATATAAAATTCAAAGATATTATTTAATAGAAAATTTAGAGATGGTATACCCAATAAACTTCTTCACTTTCGTTTTTTATCTCATCAAAATTTAACATTATATTTACTCCATTTTATTAAATTTAATTATTAAACTCTAGCTCATCCTCTTTAGAACTTTTTCAACTCCCTTTATAAAAAGTGTTTTGAATTTATTATTGATTAATGTGTTATTTGTGTTTATTATAGTGTTGCCCATTTGTTTCTTTGATACTTACCAAGCTACACATAATTGTTTCACAGAGAAATCATAATTTCTTATTACCAACACTTTAGATGAACATGTGACTAAATTCATAAATGAATATTTGTAAGGACGAAATGTAAAAGGGGTGGTAAGCCTTACGATAATAGAAGTTTAATTGGTCCGATCATCTTGACAAATTCCTTAAGTAATAGTTGATTGTCTGTATTTTTATTTATTTATTTTTTACCATGTTTCTATATGTTCAATGTATTTATTTTATTGTGTTATTATAACCGGAAGATTTTATTAATTTTATCCGGTTACTTATGATGGACTTCTAAAGTTTAGATATGATTTCACTTGTCATGTTTATTTTATATATATATATGTGTGTGTGTGTGTGTGTGTTGCACTTAAATCAAGAATCATTATTGTTGAAGGACAAAGTATTACCCCAAATAAAAAAGAGAAAACAAAAATAATAGGAGAAGAGTCCATCAATATTGAAAACACTTCATGTATTATTGGAATACATAACGAAAATATTAATCCACAAAAATGGAAAAATATAAATTATAAGAAAATAGAGGTGATGGGATATATATATATATATATATATATATATATATATATATAAAAGTGGTGGAATACATAAAAATAAATAAATAAATAAATAAAAACCATTTTTATTTTATTAACTGACACCATTCCTAATTTTGATTTCCAATGTATATAATTTCAATCTAAGGAAAAATACCAAAATTTTTTCCTTAAAATTATTATATGAACCGGGAATAAACTCTTGCTTATATTTCCTTGAATTTTTTCAAAATGGGTTTGCTAACTATAAAGCTTTATAAAATGCCTTCACTTCAGACTGAACAATTAACTAATTAATCATCTAAAAAACAAATATATTAATCCAATTATCATATTAAACATAGTTATCCGTTATAAAATGATCAAGAGCTTAAAACATATTGGTCAAAGAGATACTAATAACCAAACCAAAAAACATTTCCCAATTTCAACAAACGGTATGTAACTAATAAGTATTTTTATTAGGCCTCACATTGAAACAAGATGACTTAGTATTTGAAATACTTACAGCAAGTACATAATGTTGCATCGAACAAACCATTAATTAAACTTGGAGCATTTTAAAACACAAAAAAAATCATAAAAGAATCAAAATTTCTTTTTCAAAATTCTAAATAGACTCAACTTTTCTTATTTAAAAAATTGAATAAGTTGACATGTATTATGTAAATGAAAATGATCCATACAATATGACAAACCCACAAACTCAAATCAAATATAACAAAGGTTATAACACTATAGTCATTCATATCGATCAATAATAATTAAAATTCACAAAGATAATGCAACGAAACATTTCACACACCTAAAAATATTTCAAATAGAAGGAAAAAGTCAAGATAAAAGAAATACATAGGTGGCAAATAAAAATAAATAGTCAAGATAAAGATATTCATGATAATTATTGAATATTATAAACATATAGATAAAAGTAATTGATTATAATCAACCAATAAAATATTTAATAAAATGTGAAAAACGCAATTCATATATGATTGGATTGATTTATATATATGATTTGTAGAGTGAATTGATTCCTCCGTGACATCTTCTAATTTTTATTTTTAATTTTTTTTAAAAAATAAAAAATTGATTATATAAAGTTTATTTGTTTTACAAAATGTTTATTTCATCACGTGCATCGCACGCGAATTTTCCTAGTATATATATATATATATATATATATATATATGAGCAAATTTCACAAAACGACTGTATTTAGTGCCAACATATTTGCACATCAAAACACGGTCGATTACTTAAATGTCACAAAGGTTATTATGTAATTTGAAAAATACAGATTTTTGCTTTTTTAAATAAATTGATATATCAGGAGGTTAATTTCATCATTTAACCACATAATTGGGGACAGTGTGATCAAATTTCATAGCATCAAGTGTTTTCTAAAATAGGTTGAGATATAAGATCAAAAAATAATAGCACTGGGGTTTTGTGAAATTAGTCTTATTAAAAATTATAATCTTAAAAAGTTAAAATTTCAAAACTAGACGCTTAAAATAATTTTTTTTATATTTTTAAAATGTACTCGATTCCAATTTCAAAATCTTCAGCTGACGGCGACCGGACAAAACCAGACCCGAACCCTAATATTAAAATTTCCTCCCAAAATAAAATCCTCGTACTGACAGAGAAAAGGATTGCTATCCTAAACTACTTGGGATTGTTGTTAGCAGAGTTTTGCTTATTTATATATGTGTGTATCGCAATTTTTTTTTTATTTTTATTGTATCTTTTCCCCTACAGTACTGAAGAAGAAAAAGAACGAGAAGGTACTTACTTTGTTCCCTAGTTAGTTTATATATATATATATATATATATATGTATGTTTGTAGAATTCTCCTACTTAGGGTTATTGCTACAAGGGTTTGATTAATTTTTATATATACACCAATATAGATATAGCAAAAATTTTATCAGAAGGTTCGTTGTTCCTTGGTTCACTTTCGTCTTAGCATATATCTCATAATTGGAATGCTTGTTTTGTGTAGACAAGAGAGAGATTAAAATTAGATTTAATTCAAGCATCAGATCTCATAATTGGAAGCAAATTCCTACTTTTTATTCACTATTATTCGTGTAACATATATTCACACATTTATATATATGAACGTGTGTTCTTTAGGTTTTATATACCTGATTTTTTCTGACTGTTTGAAATACTTTTTTATTTCTGCAGACTGTTAATTAATTTATAATCGGTGAATTTGTGAAGATAAATGGCAAAAGCTGCACAGCTTACCTCTAATTTTGTACTACAGAAGGTGACTTCTTTCCCTTATCATAAAAAACTTGGTCCCTTTTCTGTTATTGTAATTATAATCATAGTGAATTTAATACATATCTTATAGTTTTTATCTTCAACTTTTTAAAATATACTATTTGGAAATCAATTAGTTTGCCATGTTGGCTAACATTTTTTTTTTCTTTCTTTTTTCGATTGTCAGTGTAACACTAGCAGTATTTATTTGGAGGATCGGATTAGTAGATTGTCAGATGACATTCTTGTTATAATTTTGTCTCGGTTGACGATGCGAGAAGCGGCAAGAACAAGTGTCCTCTCAAGTAGATGGAAAAATCTGTGGATATACATGACTGGTAGTTTGGACTTTGATGCTTCGAAGGTGTTGTGGGAAGTTCAAAAAAGAGTGTGTGGGAAGTTCCTGAAAGATGAAAGGTCTAAGTATGTAAGCTGGGTAAATCGAGTCTTGAGCTCACATAAGGGTACAACTATAGAGGAATTCAGAGTTTCTTTTGATTTGGATATATATTATGGGATTTATATCGATGCTTGGATTAACTTCGCCATAAAAAAGAGAGTTCAAAGGCTTGAGCTGAACTTAAAACGACTTTATTATTCTCAAAGGCAGGGGCGGTACTTTTTTCCTTCAAACTCTCATGTTTTATCCAGCCTCAAAAATCTAACTTCGCTTCGTTTGAATTGCTTAGATGTGAGTGGAGAGGTTCTTGAATACTTATTATCCAACTGCCCGTTTCTTCAAGAATTGCATGTGGTAGACTCCACACGTGTGGTAAAACTAAAGGTTTCCGGTCCGTCACTCAAATTGAAGTCGTTAGTGATGGTTAACTGTTACAATTTGGAATGTATTGAGATTTCTTCAGTGAACCTTGTGTCTTTTAAATATCAAGGGGGTTCAAGCACACGCATTCTTTTGGAGAATGTCCCCCATCTCACGGATGTATCTTATGGGGGTTGCTATTCGGATTATATAATAAAAAAGTTTCGTCAGTTCCCTAGTTATATGTTTCAGCTAGAGAAACTTTCATTGCACTTGAGTGATGAGGTATGCATTAACTTGTCTGTGTGTGTCTGTGTGTGAGATATGGATTTTCAGTATATGTTATCCTTACTCTTGGTTTAATTGTTCAGGTACTTTATATCTTTCCCAAGTTTCCCAAATTAAGAAATCTCAGGCAATTGGAATTGACAGTAGAAGCATATGATAAATGGAGCCTCCTTCCCTGCATTTTTCTGCTAAACGCATCTCCTTTTCTATATAGATTTTCGCTTGCAGTGAGTACTCTTAATTTTACAATATATTTTGATAGTTACCTGATTTTCTTGACTCCTGCTGTAAATTTGCCCCATGAGATTATTTTTTGATCTAGTTATGTTTCGGGATTTTACTATTTATTCACAACAGTCTAAAAGTATTATTTGAAGTCTCTTTTTCTGTGTGGAACTGAGTTATGAGAATTCAATTTCGAGCAGACAAAACGTGCCTGTTACTCCCTCCTTTTTTCCCTTTAAAACTAGGGAATTTCTTGCAACGAAGACTATAAATAGTACTCAAATTCTTATGGATAAGCTGCTAGCTTGCCTCGAAAGAAGTACGAGTAAGTAAAGTGATCTCAGGTAAGCAATCCCGCCGATAAAGTCTGAAAGCCAAAGCCTCTAATATTTAAAGGGCCTTGAGTGTCCAGTTATCAAACCACAAGGAGATACTGGTTCCATCCCCAGGAATGTTGTGCTTGTTTGAATTAGCTTAATCATTGCTAGGTGAAGCCTGCAAGAGGACCTTGGGTATTTTATTTCCGAGACTCTAATTATTCCTCTAACTTATTGTTCAAAGTTCCAGAATAACTTGAAAGTTCATCTCATAAACCCTGCCAAGTGTCAATCAACCTCGATTCATTCCCTTATCCATTGGCCTTAGTCTAATACTAAATCTTTGCTGTCCAAAAAAAATTCAACACACTTCTTTATTGAAGTTTGCAACCTACCACGTTAAAATTTAAGCCCTCCTATTGTAAGTTTAAACTATAAATTATAAGCTTTCCTCAACAAAAAAATCAAATACAAAACTAATTGTAGGTAGAACTATTGTAAGTTTACTAAATTACTCCGTTGCCGGTGTTGGAACAATGTGAACTTCTTGCAGAAAGCAAGCCATGGGATCATCTTCATGGATGGCAGCAACTATTTTAGGAAAAAGGTATTTAAAATGTCTCTTCGAACCAAGACCAACTCTTTCATCGCTAGCAATTGAGGTGTTTAGGGATAAAACTCCTTCCTCAATGCCAGACAATAGAGGCAACCCAACAAACCTTGTAGTACTCGACAAGGCATTGTAGTCCTGCTTTGAATGCCTTCAATCACATGTCTAATGCTGAATAATGAATATGAATTATGCAATTCAGGACTTGAATTGAAGGTTGCTTCCGATTATAGGTAATCATGGGAGAATGTATGAAGCTGGCTAAGTAGGATCTTGAATCATAGGCAGTGAGCTAAAGGAAATACAAGCTTCTTTTACGTCATTGAGTAGGTACCATTTGGTATTTATTAGCGAGTTCACATATATAGATGTTTCCAACATTTTCTTCTCGGGAGTAATTATCAAGGTCAAAATGGGGTTTCCTGGATCAGTCATGATCTAAAGTATTCACTCTGTCTATCTTTAGAACAAAGTTGATTTGTGTCAACACCTGGTTTGTGTCACTAGGATAGATTTTCTCTACCTACTTTGGTTGATTTGGTTCCATTCTACTGGCTGATATATTTTAGAATGGTAAATACTTGTCTGCAACTTCTCAATTTTGCTAAATATTTAATTTAGTCACGAATACTTTGTCTAAAACTTTTCAATTGTGTTCTAATTTGGTCTCTTAGTTCTGGGTCCAACATATGGCTTTCACAAATTGCTCAGGTAAAGTGAAATACTTTTTGCTAAATATTATACTGATTAAAAGTAGCCCTTTGTTGTGGAATGATAAAATATATAACTGAAAATTTAAAACTGATAAGTGAGACCTGGAAAGTTAATAAATTGTCTAATTTTTTTTTATTGTTTTATTATTTAATTAGTGACATGTAAATTTGAAATTTTAATGCTGGACCGAACGTACAGCTTTCACGTATTGTCTAGATAGAGTGTCAAAACGTTGGTGAATAATATACTGAATAAGGAAGTACTGGTAAGCAATTGATGTTGACCTCCTTCTGCTTTTTCTTGTTTTCCTTTTTCTTCTACTTTGCCCTTCTGTTCAATCACATTTCTTTCCACATGGCATGTGATTAACTTTTGTTGCATTTCAAATTTACTTTAGATGTGAATTATTTTTTGTCACTTCTCTAAGCCTAGAGGTAGCAATAATCGAACCCTCACATTTAAAATCAAATATTTCCCATTTTAGCAACTTTTGCAGCTAACTAAATGACTATAATTCACTCTTTGTCCAAGTTTTTATGGTGCAAGTTAATTGTTGCAGTAGTAGGTGTTAATGTAACATAATGTTAATGAAACTTTGTGAAAAGTCTCAAAAGTTAAAATCAATTAAAGCTTCTGGCGGAGCTGAATCAGAACTTGGATGTGGTGTTCATGGTTTTCTTGAAATAGTTAGCTGTCTGTTCAAAATACTTGAGATGATTTTCAAAGTTTGCTTTGAAATTGCATTTCCAGTTACTCATTTATTAAGAATAAGGTATTCTTTAAATAAAAATTAACAATCTGCTACATTCAAAGCTTGCAAAAAATATAGAAAAATAAAAAATAAAAATGTTTGCATTCCGTCTTAATAGTGTCTGTTTTTTTTTTTTTTTTTTTTTTTTGGCATTGTCTTATAGAGTTCAGCAAGTTGATTTGTGTTTGTATATTTTTTTTACCGCAGTGATTATTTTTTGCTCTTCGCATGTATATGATGAGGATATCCCTAATTATCTTCTTCAAACAAGCACATTATAATTCTTATTTTTCTGTGGCAGTTTTTATCGCGCAGCGGACCTTCTATAGGAAGAAATACGGTAGGGAATTCTAAAAAACATACGCTCAAATGCATCAAAATAGTGGAATTGGTTGCATTCGCTGGGCGTAAACCTGATGTTGAGTTTGCTGAGTATATACTTGAGAAGGCCATATCACTTGAGAAGATGATTATTGATACGCGCTACCTGTATTCAGTTGGAACTCCATCCGAGAATGTGGAAGATGAGAAGAGACTAGCAGCAAAAAAGTGTGCTGAGCAACTACATACAAAACGACGTCCGGGAGTTGATTTAGTGATACTTTAAGTTATCAAGAACTGCACGAGTGAGATCTGTTTTGATGCTATATAGAGGACTCCCTTGTCGTGTAAGATCTGAGGTTGGGAGTCAAAGCACCAAGGTTATCAGGGATTGTTATATTAGTTCAAACAGGATAATAGCTTCGATCTCGACAGGATAGATGTTGATAACTGATTAGGGTTGAGAAAGGTCTTAATTCATGTTGTATGACATTCTCAATTTTTTTTTATGCATTTGCGTGAGTGCAGAATTATAAAGATCCCCTCAACCAGGATGCAGCTGCTGTGTTAAGACTCGAGACATCATCATGTACCAAATTGTTTGCATAAGGGTTCAAAAGCTTTAGATTTATATATGTGTTTTACTTCATTTATTTGCTCATTTAAGTTATGGTAAGATATGTTTATGATGTCACTAGGAATTTACTCTCTTTCTCTCTATGTATATATCCACTTCGACTTCTCTCTGCACAAATTTATATTTACAAGGGATTTCTATACAAATCTAGGTGTGGCATTTGGGCCGGTCAAAGGAGAAAAATAAATACCAAATTTCTTGGCTTGAATCCATTATGTTAGCAAGAGTTTGTGAGGAACTCAAGGAACGAGACTTCAAATTGAGCAATGCTTCAATTTATGAACAATTTGAGTGTATTCTTTTCTTTTTCTTTATGAGTCAAATATAATAAATGGAGTTGAAGTTATATAGTGATGCCAAAGTTTCGAACTAAAAAGCCAAGTCAGGTAAAGAGAGAGGTGGAGCGAGTCTTAAAGTTCAAAAAAATTTGGGAGTGGGATGTATGTCATGGGTTCTTGTCCCATATCGAATTTAAGATTGGAAAGGTTTTAAATATATGACGTGGGTGTTAGCACATCTAAATGCTTAAACTTTTGGATGAGATTCTCAAGTGTTCAGCCTTTTGACCGGAATGAATACCAAATTCCAACCCAACTCATTTGACTCATCAAACAATTTGAATGAAAATTTTTTTAAGTGAATTTTACGAGTTCTATCATACTTACTAAGTAGTGTATGGACTTTTTATCGTTCAAGTGGACTTGAAAATTTGATCTGTAGGTATTTAATTAGGGTTAAAGCATTTTTAAGATGAATTTTATGACATTTCACGATTTCATAAGCAATGGACCAATTAAATGTAAGCAATTCTACTTTTCTTGACAGATAAGATTTGTACTTGTTTTAGGAATTATTTTGGTTTCAATGCATTTGGGTGATAGTATAAAAATGAAAATTTTAAAGTTGACGTGGGCAATTTTAATATTTTAAAGAATTATGCATATAAAAATGCAATTTTTTACCCAAAGTCCCGCTCATTTCCTTATACAACGTCTCTCTGCGATTTGTTACCCAAACTCCCGCTCATTTCCTTATACAACGTCTCTCTGCAATTTGTTACCCAAACTCCCGCTCATTTCCTCATACAACGTCTCTGCAACCCTAACCCTAAGTTTCAACTACCCTTTGCAAGCTTAACCCTAAATTTCTCAACCACCCTCTGCAACCCTACCCTAAATTCCAATCCCTCTCTAAAGCCCATCCCTAAATATGGAAAGGTTTCCAAATTCTGTGGACCTACATGCCCTATTAGGGCATTTGAAGAACTATCAACGGAAAAAATCGAAATTGGATAATAAGAAAGATATTATTCTAAAGATGATGGAGTCGGTCAATGGCCAGGTGAGGGTCAAGACAGAAGATCATATCAAAGCCCTAGCTGCTGTTAGAGATTGGACCGGCAAAGACGTACAGGCCGTTATTTCTGCCATGCTCGATGAAGAATCGAAGAAAACCCTTATCAAAGCTGCTGAAGTTGCCGATATTCCATGGGTTTACCATCCGAAGATGATTCGTTACTGTGAAGATGATCCCACCTGGGAGGAAGTATGTGTTTCTTTTTTGGTAGAACCTCTGATGATGCATAAAACCAAGAAAAAGAACCTTGGCTTCCTGGATGAAAGAATCTGCAGTCTCAACGAGAGATTGAGGAAACTAGAAAAGAAGAAGAAAAGAGGATTGAATGAAAAGCTTGTTCTTGAAGAAGAGTTGAGGATTGCAAAAGCCAACCAGGAGGAGATTCTTGCCCTGGAAGCCTCAATCCGATCACAAATGGAGGATTTAACAGCCTCTGTGGTGGTCAATTCAGAGGAAGAAGTTGGGGTTGTGGAAGCAGTGAAGATATGGCTGGACAAGGAATTGGAGATTTTGATCTCTATCACTCATGGTGACTCTCTTCAGGACAGTCTGATTAGTGCTGCTAACAAAGCTAACATCCCTTGGATCTTTTATGATATATTGGCTAAAGAGCGCCTTTCCAAAGTCCGACCCCGCATTCTCACTATCCATTATTGAGAAGATTTCTGGTAAGTCACCTAGTTCTCTGTCTTGTGTTTGTGAAATTTCTATCATTTCCAAGATGTTGGCATTTGAAGTGTGTAAGTTTCTTATTTTGGTGTGACATAAATATATATATATGCAGTGGTATGGTCACAGTCTACTTTTTTGATGAAAGTCCTTCATAAACCTAAATATGCAAACTTATTTGATAAAATGCTCAAGAGAGAAAATAGCTATATGTAGGACACCAAATTTACTAGGTAAAACCCCTAATGCAGGGCAAACATCCTCAAGGCCTTAAATCCTAGTTCAAAGCAACCAATGCTTGGAATAATTAAAGACAACAGAGGCAACCCAACAAATATTGTAGCCCTGCTTTGAATGCCTTCAATCACATATCTAATGCTGAATAGTGAACATAAGTTATGCAATTCAGGACTTGATTTGAAGGTTGCTTCCTATTATAGGTAATTACGGGAGAATGCACAATGAAGTTGGTTAACTAGGATCTTGAATTAGAGGCAGTGATCTAATGGAAATACAAGCTTCTTCTACTTCTTTGAGTAGGTACCATTTGGTATTTCTTTTATTAACGAGTGCACATGTAGATGTTTCCATCATTTTCTTCTTGGGACTTAGACCAGTAATTATCAAGGTCAGAATGAGGTTTTGAAGAACCAAGAAGAGGGGGAGCGGTGTTGAACTGATTCTTTTATTCTTTTCCAAACTTTGAATTGAACTTTCACAAACCAAGTTAGGTCACTAGAGCTCTAGATATGCAGTGGTGTGGTCACAATCAAATCTTTTTGATGAAAGTCCTTCATAAACCGTAACTATGCAAACCTGTTTGATAAAATGCTCAATAGAGAAAATAGTTATATGTACGACACCAAATTTATGAGGTGAAACCCCTAATGCAGGGGAAACATCCCGAGGCCTTAAAGCCTAGTTCCAAATCCACTATGAGCAAAGTTGAAGTGTAAATACTCTCACATTCTCACTCACAGCACACACCAATCTCACCACAAGTTCACTCAAGCACTCACCCCGTCCAAAGCAACCAATGCTTGGACCAAAACACTCACAAAATTCCGGTAATGAATGAAAAACAAACTATCAAGTATACGAAATTTTAGTAGCACACAGTTCAACATGAGAGGAGAGGAAATTCTGGACTTAAATTAGTCCACTGTTTGTGCAGACTGAGGTTCAGAGGTGCCAAATTTTGATGCAGCCTCTAGTCTTGCTTGATGAATGCTCAACTTCTTTAAAGCGATGACTGATACTTGCAGAAATGAAAACAGCACAAAAAACAGCTGCACAAAATCAATCCATCTCAGTTTTAGCACTCAGCATCTTAATCTCTGCAGATTTAGGTTTTAGAAGTGAATATGCTGTGAAGACCTTGATAGAACCTCGATGATACCTTATGTGACTCTAAAAGTAAGATTGAAGCTTGCTCACAGCCTGTTCAAATCACACCACCACAATATACCATCATCTTGATTCTGATATGCATTCTGTAGGTTTAGGCACAGCAGACTAGAGGGTATGAACTATGAAATGCTGCTGTAGCTTTACTTGCGGTTTGAAATGATTACAAGAGATGTTCAGGCTATTCCACTGCTCTAATCAAGAATGAGAAGCTTTGATAGATCTCAATCCACCATTTTCAGTATACTGCTTAACTGCAGACTTAGCACAACTGCATTTTCTATCTGTTGCTTGGACCCCAGACTTCACCGGTGATTCTTGCTAGGAGTCTAGGATTTCTACAATTAACCTCTCAAGAATACAGAAGCTCTCACACTCACAAAGGTCTCTCAATTTGATGGATTAGCAGTGAAAAACCATAGCTTTACTCTCTCTAACTTGCTCAGTACAAGGCAATGTTGCACCTTTTGAATTCAAATACATGCGGCACCTGAATAGGCTAGCACTGAGACATTCTCTCTGCAATAGAACCTGCTAGAACACGAATGAGCTCACAGCACACATGGCACTACACCTGCACTCAAGCACAATTACTAGAATACCCTTGAGGGACTGTTAGTGAATATCTGAAAACTGTGAGAACACAAGGAAGCTGCAGGCATGCTAAATAGACTGTATTTAAGTGACAAACCAAATAATGCTCCAGACTAGTACTGTAATAATCTAAACGTAATGCAGATAATTAACACAGGTAAAGCTGCAGATGAGTGAGCAGAGATTTGAGATTGCAAAAATGAGAACATGAGTATCCCTTGAGAGCAAATATGATGGTGTCACACGACATATATTTTACATTAAAACAGCAAATCAGTCTCAAGAAGACCTTGGACCAAAAGGTTTTCCTGGATCAGTCACTGTCTAAAGTATTTACTCTGTCTTATCTTTAGAACAAAGTCAGTTTATGTCAACTGGTTTGTATCACTAGGATTGGTTTGCTGCTAGTGTAAAGAGCTGACACTTGTGCATAAATGTGCGCTCGTGCGTGCAATCATTTTAAATTTTATTAAACATTACCAGTCATTATATCTTTGGAAGTCGATCATTAGAGATGATAAGCACTGTATGGTAAACCATGGCTGTTTATTTAGCTTTCATGTTCATATCAGTTTGTTAACATGTCCTTGATACTTGGGGGAGTAGCCATCCCTTCTAGCTATATTTCTGGAATTCATGGTCCCTTGGAACCTGTCCAATATTTGAAGAACTCTCCTGTGCCATGTTTTCAGTTAATTTTCAAGTTGTTCTTTAGTTCTTCTCTTGTTCTTCGATTGGAGTGGGTCACGCTCTCTGCAAATGGGTGTCAAGGCACAAAGTATGACATTTGTTTTGTGATGTTTAGCATTTTTGGTTGTTGGCAGCCATTGAGAATAATTGCTTTGTTTGTGTCTTCTGCTTGAGCTTGTATTCTTTATTTTGGTTATGTTTTTCTTTGTATGTGCAGTGTTAAAAATAATAAAAAATAAAATAAGCAACATTGTTCTTTTATATATTATTTCAATTTCACTGGGGCTAAAAAATATTTCTATAAATAAATGAACCTGAGAGCCTATAACTTGGGAAGAAGATGGAGGTGAAAGAGGAAAACATAGACGGATTTTCGTAAATTTAATTTTCACTGCATCGAGAAAAAAAAACTCACTACCCGTGTTTTGTGAACAAGGTGAATTTATGACGTATATACCTTGGTTCATTCTAGTCATTTAATCATTTTATCTTTATCATTCAGCTTGCATGCATATATATATCTGGAAACTTTAAACAATGTAAATAATTTTGCTTTGCTTGACAGTTTAGAGTCTTGAGAAATATTTCAAAATTTTAGGAAATGGTCCTATTTTTATTTTATTTTGTTTTTGGTGATTACTACATTACACGCTCTCCATGTTGCACCACTCATTTGTGCATCCTGGCATGCGAAGAATTTCATGTTGTATTAACTTTCCTTATATATATATATGTGTTAACGTTCTCATCTCCGTTGCATGAAGTCATTCATCTTGCTTCTTTTTTAGGACTCAACACTTGGTTCCGTACAATATAATAGGTCTAATAATGTTTCTTTAAAATTTTCCTTTTACCTTATGTGTGTGTTTTATTTTTTAATTTTTTTATCACATAATATACCACTAGCATTTCTCCACTTTGTCCAATCCACTCAAATTTAATTAGTTGTGTCACTATCATCATTTTGGATTAATGATTGTGAAAATGCTTGTTTTGTGTAATTTTTTGATTTTGGAGTGTGATCATTAGATTTTCAATGTCCGAATCTTTATTAAATTTAGATTCCATGCAGTCAGTTTTAGTTCGTCTAATTTTCAATCCTTTCGATCAAAAAACATTTTTCCACATTTCTAGTTTCATTGTTAAGTTCTCTTTAAAGGTATCCAATAACATAATATGATCGACAAACATCATGCAACATATTATCTAGTTTCTCTGCATATGCATGCATACATGTATGTATTCCAGACACTCCGTGGAGTCTTTTCTTAGCTGTATCAAGAAGTTGTGCCTTCCTGAATTGCAATTGCTTTTTATATATTATATAATATATGAACAATACTTTTCTATCTTTTCCACAAAGTTCCAATCTCAATTTGTTGACACAACCTCTGCCACCCTTACCAAAGTTGTCTACATTTCGAGTATTTCAGTCCTACAGACTAAAAGACTTTTTAAACTTCTATAACCTTCATCAAAATCTTAGATTCTCAGCTTCAATCTAAAATGTCTAAAATTCATTGTTCGCTCTAATTCCCTTTTGGGTATGTTTGGCAGCACCGTATTGGAGCTTTGGAATTGAGATTGGCAGCCCCAATCCCAAATACACTGTTTGGATATTATAAACCAACTTGAGATTGGGAATGCATTGTAATCCCAAACATCCCAAATCAGCAATTTGAATCCCACGGTCCAACCAAAGATTTTCAATTCCAAAACTAGCCCAGTCGCAAAGCTCTCTCTGCAACACACGATCGCTCATTCCACCAACACTACTTCTCTGTCCATCGCTCACTCGACCAAGGATGGCTACACTTTCATGTCGATTGGCGTCGGATTGTAGATCTTTCATCTCAATCGAGCCTTGCAAACCCTAGGTCAAGTTCAGGTCTCTCTATGTGTTGATATTTATATGTTGATTTACAATGGTGGTAGTTATTTCCAGGTTCAAAATCTGAAAACAACTTCAATTTATCAATCGATCTAAACCTCGTTTTATCATTTTTTAGGTCATATCTCTTCTCTAATTAGAACTTTCTTCAGTAAATGACTCAGAGGCTTAGAAGAATGGAGAATTCTGCACGAGGCGTAGGAAATGGGTAGTTGGTCCCTATTTTGGGCTGAATAGTGATGGGACCATGGACAGTGGCTCATGACCAGTCACTGTGGGCATTGCAAACATAGGGTTCATCTATTTAAACATCTTAATTTTCTTTTGTAAATTAAGCTTTTCAATTAAGTTGCAATTGCTCGTCTTAGGAAATCCACTTTATGGGTGATATATATTTTAAATTGGATCTCCTAGATGTATAAATGTTTTTTGAAGTTTGTTTGTTGCTCTTCGTTTGGAGCTTTAATCATTCTATTGATATGTGAACATTCAATTAGTGGTGTATATAATTAGTGGTCTGTTTAATTATTAATTTTGGCCTTTATTTGTTGTTTGGATAACCTGTCACATATTATTGAAGTTTTTTGTCACCCAATTGGTGCTTGTGCTATTTATGCCTACTAGTGATTTTTGGTGCTTGAATTTGTTATGCTTACTAGTGAAATTTGGACTTCTTAGCTTCACATTATTCTTCGGTGAGATAATGAAATATATCTAATATCAGCATGTCCATGATGAGCTATTTTAGATTTCTTCCATGGCTCAGGATTTTACAGCTTGTCAGAATTCCTGTTTCTGTGCTGGTCATTAAATCTGAAAATTTAGTTATCCGGTGGTGCTTTTCAATATTGACTTAACAGTTTGATCAATAGCTATTGTAAAGATGGGGTATATATGTGTCCTTCCCTTACGTAGAACAATGGGAAATTCTGCATGAGGCTTAGGAAATGGGCATGCCACCATAGGGTCCTTCGTATGTTGAGAATATGATAATATGCAATCTGAAGAAGTGAGAATTGATTTGGCTTGCTGATAAATAATTACAAGAAAGTCCTAAAAGAAGAACAGGGCACTACGCCAGCAGCCTTTAGTTCGTTGGCCCTATGTTTTCGGAAGTTGACCTTGAGAGTAAGAGAGATAAAAGAAGTAAATCTTGAAAGTAATGGCAACTTGGTGAAGTGGCATGAGGATGTAAATTCTACTGAAGTACCCATGAAGAAACTGAGAAGTCTCAAACTTGTATTTTTTCTCTTTCTTGGCATAGGTTTGGGGATTATAGTCAGTAGGAGGGAGATATGTCTTGGATTTTGCACATAATGATAATATAGGTAGAAGGCAAAAGCAAATATAAATAGAGACCACGTGATTTTGGAAAAAGCATATATTGCTATCATCCATTTCCTGTAAATTTGTAGACAGTGTTGCTTATCATTTTCCTCAGCGCTTTCAATTACTTTTTGTTAGCCGCCATGTACATGAATAGCTTGCTGAATTGAATGTGTAGCTTTGTGCTATTGCCAACTAATAGTATGTGGTTCAACTGGTAGCAAAATGGAAAAGCTATGTTCATATTTTACTTGTGTTTCAGGTGATGTGTGTAAAATGATTATTTTGTTTGGCACAGCAATCTTTACAACACTAGTTCTGTGAGTTTTTCAGATGATACCTGCATGCGGAGTTTTAGTTAGAAGATATGGTGAGCAGTATTTTAGGTTCCTGCTTTTCACAAAGTAGAAGCTAAATTTGGAGCATAAAAAATGGAATGCCTTTTCCCTCTGGACAACTTCTCTACCACTCTTTTTGTTTCTGCATTGTTTTCTTGCAATATAGAGCTCATAAGCAAGAGTTGCAACTTTAGTCAGAAAATTTTAATTTTGTGGATCAGATAGAAACACGAAAGCTCCATAGCCATCATCTTTTCCACTGGAATAATTAAATCTACTTGGTCATCATTTCTGTTACAGTGTTAGCTACTTAGTTTCAGCAATAGTGTTATTTATTTTACTATTTGCAGTGGCAAGTTTAATTGTGGTATCTTATGTAATTGATTTTAACGTGTTGAAATAATTTGCCAGGCATGGAAATCAGAGAGGGGCAGCATCAAAGGGATGTCAGCAAGATGCTTTACATGGGCTGTTGAAATGGATCCTATATTGTCGGTTTTGTTAATTTTCTTAGACAATGGGTGATGGAGATTCTTCCTTTTAAACCGCATTTCCCGCAAATTGTTTTCCCCTCCATGTTTTCCTTCATAGTTGTCAAACAAAATATACATGCAAAATTTTCTATGATCATCTCTCTGTTGTGTATGGTGTGAAAATGCCCCTTGTGCATGCCTATAGTATCACTTAAATATCTATGTATCAAGTCAGAAGGCAGTGAAATCTAAGGCAGAGGGTGAAATTTACCTATTGTCATTTTGTTGCAGGGCATTGTGAGATGTCTCACTTGAAGTAATAGCTAATTTTAGGTCAAAAGTTTTTTCTCTGCTAAAGAATCCATGAATCAGAGATCTTGTGTAGCCTGATTTATTGGGATTGGTTAATTAAGAAAAGTTGTGTCTTTTTTATATGTTGATTATGGGTTAATTAGGAATGGTCTACATAAGTTTAAATGCATGTTGACATATTGTAGTGTGTGTGTGTGTTATTTCTGATAAGGACATATCATGTTTCAAGTTTTCAACTGTCACCATGCTCAGTAGCTGATGATTTCCAATTCTTGCATCACTCTAATAATCCTAATAGAAGCAGCTGATGTTTTCCAATTCATGCTCAGTAATTTGCACCGACAAACCAAGCAATGACTTCATTAAACCTAACCAGGTTCACACCTTAAAGTCAGCACTAGATTACTTAAATAATGCTTTGTTAAAAGGTTCAACATGACTCTTAGTTCATGTTTCATCAATTTTTTTAAGACATTCAAGTACAAGTAGCGCCTGACGCACCAATTAGGTCAACCCTAGTTTGACCTAAGATCTAGACACTTAAACATGAATTCATACTCCCTCCATTTCAAATTAAGTGTCTGCTTTGGAAATGATGACATGCATTTTTGTGAGTCAAAAAATTTTTGTGAGTCAAATATGAGCCGTCGTTTTCAAAACGGACAAAGAAAATATTTAAAAGCCTCAAAGTAGTACCACACTTTTCAAGTCTCTTATGACTTGAACACATAAAATCTACCCTAGTCATGGGACTTGAAAGGCCATTGATGCGTTTGGCCCGGGCCGGCCCATTGCTGATACTAATACTAATTTTTGCTTAGCACATTATATTATCAGAAGTGGCATGGCAAAATTCAACATGGTTCAAATAGTGAAATTAGTAGGTTTGAATTGATTTTAATCGTGTTCGTAATTTTAATCGTGTTTGTGTAATAATAGTGTCAACTCATTTAGACCCGGCTTGGTTTACGTTTGTGTATTTTTTTTTTTTTTGGTATTTTGTTTTAACGTGAAACAAAATAATTATTTTGAATAGTAATCGGAAACAAATACATGTCTAACAAAAAAAAAAAAAAAAAATTGTAAGTTTGAAAAGTATAATGGTTAATTTATAATTTAATTTTAATAAAATTGTATTAAACGCCCTTGAGCTATCAAAAAGTTGCAAACTAGCTCCCTATACTATTTTTTGTCACCAACAAAACCCTCAACCTTCCAAAAGTTGCAACATGACCCCCCTTTAGCAACCAGCAGTCAGATTTGAGCTGTCAAAATGGCAATTGCTATATCTTTTGATAAAAATACCCTTTCAAATGACCATTTTAACCTTTTTAATTTTTATTTGACAAAAAAAATTCTTGAACTCCCTCTATTAGCCAATACATCTCATAAATCATAACCCCATTCTTGCAATCTGCTTTTAGATCCCATAACCCCACTATTGCACTCAATCTACCTTACACCCCAAATTTATTTTCAAAAATTTTAGAAACTATTTCTTCCTAAAAACTTAAACTGTTAAAGATATAACTTAAATATATAAATTCTTCAACAAGTTAGTGGGTATAACTTAAATATATAAATTCTTTAATACGTCTTTTCACCAGTAACCTTCTTTTAATATATGTTTTTTAATTTTTTAATTAGAGTCGAACTAATTACTCTTATTTTAATATTCTTATGGCACCATTAACTGCGGACTTGAGGAAAGCTCCTTTGTTCACTATAAAATAATAAAATAAATGTTTGGAGTTTTTATAAGCTATATAGGAGTGATATGATACTCCATATCCGCGGTGTAGTCGATTCAATTTCGAACTCATTAGCCATAGTATTAAGGTTAATTTATGTAATCCGTGTATATAGCAATTGTATTTTTTTTTTTTTTTTTTAGCCGACAACGAGAAGGTACTTACTTCGTTCCTTGGTTAATATATATATATATATATTAACTACTCATATGTTTTTGGTTTGTATAGAATTACTCCAAGATTATTGCTAGCAGGGTTTGATTAATTTATATGTATACTCCAATTATAGGTAAAGCAAATTTTTTATCAGAAATTTCTTTATTTCATGGTTGTAGTCGTGTTACGTGACAAATAATAGTATTCAAAGAGTAAATGTTTAGAAATAAATTGTGATAAATAACAGTATTCAAAGAGTAAATGTTTATGAATAAATTGTTGCGCGGTCAAGTATTCAATTGTGTCAAATTTTGCTTATGTCACTGCAGGTAATTAAGTGGGACTATATAGTTCTTAACTGTATAATAAATTTTCGAGTTTAAGATTTTTTATTGCAACAACAGAGTCTCACAACAAATATAATATCCACTAATAATTTGAATGAAAATTCATATTGGTGTGAGTTATGTTTGTGCCATGTCGATATAATTATATACACAAACACCACCCTAAAAATTCATATATTCATAAATAACATGAATAATAATGAATAAAAAATAGGAATTTGCTTCCAATTATGAGATCTTTTGCTTAAATCTAATTTGAATCACTCTCTTGTCTATACAAAACAAGCATTCCAATGGCGAAAAATTGCTCACCTGGCGAATCTCATATACCAAGTAATATTTATGCTTAGGTTTTAATTATAATATTCCATTATCATTTTTTTTTTCTTTTCTCTGAAGGTAAGAGTTATATGAATAAGTTGAATGTATACTGCAAAAGCCCAATGAACAGAGGCCCAAAACAAGCCTACAGACAGAGGAACCAACAGTGGCCCATTCAACAGTTGATGAAGACAATAATATTCTAGAAGCCCTAGAATAGCTTTGTCTAAAACAACAATTCATCCGGTGTGCTCAGTGTGATGAGGCAGAGCCTCCGGTGGCGGTCTGATGAAGGACTGGGGAAGATCCCACTCTAGCATGAGCCTCCTCGCAGTGGGTGAGTCTTTTACACTTAAGGAAGTTAACCTCTGTTTCAGCATATCCATGGTGCGATTCAGCACCCTTGTTTGTGTATTGCTCTATTAATTAGGTTCTGCTCCCAATTTGGTTACTGTAGGACCTCCTACTGTTGTATATATTGTATATAATTTTGGTTCTAGTTGATCAACTCACAGTTAATTAATTCTTAAAAAGGATTTATTTAAATAGGCTCAAGTACTTCTTGATCAGTAGGATCTGAAAGGTTTTTAAGCCCACAAAAATATAATTGGTGGAAAAATAGTAATTTTATAAATTTCATCGTATCATGTCAAACTAATAGGCAGAATATAAATTATCCATTAAACATTTCTTTATTTTCATTCAATATAGGTATCAATTGCATGGTACATATTAATGTTTCCACTTATTGTCATGCATATTCATAAAAGGCCAGAGAAATCATTGAAGAGAGCTTCTTGGAGAGAGAAAGCTTAGAGGGAGAATGTTTGGTAGAGAGAGAGAGGTTCCAGTGTGTCTCTAATGGTGAACTGTTGACCCATATGAGCTTCTCAAAGAGATTCGGGTAACCCTTTCATTAGTGCTCGGATGGAGGCTTCTTGCTCTAGAATGTCATCCCTGTTCGCTTTCGCAGCCCTTAACTCTTCTTCAATAGCAATTTTTCATTCAATCCCTTCTTTTTCTTATTCTTTTCTATTTTCAGCAATTGCTTGCTGAGGGTGCAGATTTGTTCCTCCAGAAATCCAAGATTCTTTCTCTTCGACTGATACCTTTGCATAGGTTTTATCAAACAGGCAACAGAGCCTTCCTCCAAGGTGGAATCGTAGTCTCCAATTCTCAAAACCCTCGGATCTTGATCCTAGACCCTAAATTTCGGCCACTCTCTGAACCCTAACCCTAAATTTCAGCCACTCTCTGAACCCTAACCCTAAATTTCAGCCCTTTGAAATCCTTTCGCTAACTATGGAGAGATTTCCGGATTCGGCTAACCTATATGCCCATAGCAGGGCATTTGAAGAACTACAAACATGAGAATTTGAAGCTAGAGAAGCAGAAAGAGAACATTCTGAACTTGATGGAGTCCGTCAATGGACAAGTGAGAGTGAATACAACGAATCATATTGATGCTCTAGCTTCTGTGGGAGAGTGGACAGGAAGAGATGTGTAAGCTGTAATCTCTTCGGTGGTGGATAAGAAATTGCAAGAAATGCTCATCAATGCTGCTAAGAAAGCCCGAATTTCATGAGTTTACCATCCAAAGATGATACATTACCGGGATGATGATTCGAGGAGGAAGGGCTCTTGCCTATTTGATAGAACCTCTGCAGAGGTATCAGTCCAAGAGAAAGAATCTTGGATGTCTGGAGGAACAAATCTGCACCCTCAGCAAACAATTGCTGAAAATAGAAAAGAAGATGAAAAAGAAGGGATTGAATGAAAAATTTGCTATTGAAGAAGAGTGAAGGGCTGCGAAAGCGAACAGGGATGACATTCTTGCTCTACAAGCCTCCATCCAATCACTAATGGAAGGGTTACCGAATCTGTGGTGGTTGATTCGGAAGAAGTCGATGTTGAAGTAGTCAAGATATGGGTGGGAAAGCCAATAGAAATTTTGATTCCCATAACCCATGGCGACTCTCTGCAGGACACTCTGATCAATGCAGCTAAAAGAGCAAAAACCTCTTAGATCTTCTATGATAGGATTGCTAAAGAGCGACTTTCACAAGTGCGACCCCGGAATCTCACGATCCACTACTGATTTCTTTCTGGTAAGTCACCTAGCACCTAGTTCTCTGTGTGTTTGTGTGGGTATCTCTAGAATATTCCTGTCTTATTTATTTGTTTCAAATTTTTTTTTTTTCCATGTATCAACTAGTTAATATTTTAATTTATTTTCTATCTAAAAATGAATAGCAGTAGTATTTTTGGTGATCATAACAGACTAGGATTCAGCCCCGTGTGTTGTTTGATAATAGGAGGGTGGAATCACCTCACATGAGCTTAATCCGCGGAAATAATACCAAGAAATATATATCTCTTGCTAAGTTGACATAAGCCAGTTAGGTACAATAAGACCACCAATTAGGTACAATAAGGCCGCCAGTCAACTCAGGCCTAATTGGCTTTCTTCGACTTGGAATCACCTCACATGAGCTTAAACCGCGAAAATAATACCAAAAAAAATATTTCTCTTGCTAAGTTGACATAAGCAAATTAGGTACAATAAGACCGCCAATTAGGTAAAATAAGGCCACCAATCAACGCAGGCCTAATTGGCTTACTTCGACTTGGGATGAGCATCATTGCTATAATACTAAAAGCCATAAGTCTCACTCTATTTCCCAAACTCACATATTCACTTTTTTTTTTTCTTTTTTTTAATTTAATTTTTAATTTTTAATTGCCAATAAATTCACACACTCATTTTATGACTTGAACCGTCACTTCTCACATAATCACTTTTTTTATGCCATAAAATTTGATTCTAATCTTTCGCAGCTTATGTTTTGTTTACTTTATTTACGGGAACCTACTTATAAAAAAAAAAAATTACGGTAACCATCATGCATGTTGTAAAAAGCGACAAGGAACCAAAATAGAGGACTAGAAAGTCTAGAAGTTTATTCTTTTTTGGATTATTTTTCTTCCATGGACCTCCCATTGTTTAATGAGTGGTTCAAATGTATCACAAAAGCAATTAGATCTACTTCGACAATAAAACATTAGGAAAAAGGCAAATGCTACTGAAAGGATCTGATACAGAATACAAAAAGGCGACAAATGTTAAAACATAAATGCAGTTTGAACAGATTTGGCAATAATCCTACTTAGCTGAAGCTAATATTCAACTAAAAAATAAGCATATCTGCTAAAATTGTTTTCTATCTGCTAAAATGGTTCATTTGTAACTCTTAAATCACAGTTTTATTCGGGCATTGTATTGTTAATCTCAGCATAGAGCTGTGTTATAATTCAATACCTGCACTAATATTTTGTGCCAATGCTAAAAATGGAAATTGATAAGTGTTAAATGGAGCCTTATGCTTTAATTGAGATATGGGTACGTACCATTTTATGGTTAACGTACTTGTAACATACTCTTGCCTTCCATTAGAGTTCTCTATTATTAGAATCTCAAGGAGTTAGTATGATCATTGCCTTCTTTGAATGAAAAAGTAAAGATATAAGTAATTTAAAGATTTAAAGTATATATGTATATACAATGTAGCAACTTTGAGATTCTCTAGGGTGTTCTTAAGATGTGGCTTTTTAAAAATTTTGTTGGAATCTGTGGGCTCCATATCAGTTGATGCATTCTAAGCCAGACAGTGAAAAAGAAAAAGAGAAAAAAGAAGAAGCTTATTTGATGTAATTTTTCTATGTTATATATCATTCTCCATCTTTGAATGATTCTTTATTTCATTACTCTCTTAAAATGTTATTTGTGTGTGCTCTCTGAGTTTGATGAATCTGATGCTTACTTGACATATGTGCTAAAGCATAGCTACAATCAGAGTGTCCCAAAACACAAGTTAAAAGAAGATGCTTGTACTACTTTAGATTGTTCTCTCAATATCATACTCATAAATTGATTACAAAAGGAAGGGAAAAAATCATTAGATTCATTACCATGTGTATGAGAATATGCTTGTTACTTTACTGGCAAATCATGGACTGACTTATAATCAAGCATATTTAAATTAAGGTTGAAGAAATCATGATCATGAACAAGAAAACTGTACAAATATAAAATTTTAATTAATCTCTCTCCATGATGCTATTAACTCAGCACATCTGAGTTTCAGCCTTGAGTCTGTTTGGCTAAGTTATGACATGCCAGACTTTAACTGAGAAGTATCATATGTTGTGCTGATTTTTATTTTTTTTTCCTCAAGTATCATATGTTTCATCCTACTATATTTATTATGAAGTAGTAAAATTTCATTCTACTAGTGTATTTAAATGCTAATGGCTGGAGAGGGAGCAAATATGGTTATCTCTCTGTGTGTTTGTGTGCGCGAGATGAGTATTTTCAGTATATGTTATTCTTACTCTTGGTTTAATTGTTTAGGTACCTTACAACTTTCCTTAATTTAAAGGTGGAAGAAATCATGATCATTAACAAGAAAACTGTACAAATATGAGATTTTAATTAATCTCTCTCCATGATGCTATTAACTCAGCACATCTGAGTTTCAGCCTTGAGTCTGCTTGGCTAAGTTATGACATGCCAGACTTTAACTGAGAAGTTGAAGTTTTACTTTGTTGTGCTGAATTTTTTTTGTGTTGCTTTGATTTCCTCGAGTATCATATGTTTAATTCTACTAGTGTATATTTATTATGAAGTAGTAAAATTTCATTCTACTAGTGTATTTAAATGCTAATGGCTGGAGAGGGAGCAAATATATTCTTCTGTGTGTGTGTGTGTGCGGAGATGAGGATTTTCAGAGTATGTCATTCTTACTCTTGGCTTAATTGTTTAGGTACTTTACAATTTTCCTTCCCAAACTAAGTGATCTCATGCAATTGGAATTGATAGTGGGGGGCATCTGATACATGGAGCTCTCCTTCCCTACATTGCTCAGCTAGAGGCATCTCATTTTTTTTTGTATAGATTTTCACTTCAGTGAGTACCCTTCAGTTTACTGTTCTGTTCATGAAAAGCTAGAGGCATCTCATCTTTGTATAGATTTTCACTTTCAGTAGTGAGTGCTCTTCAGTTTACTGTTCTGTTCATGAAATATTGTGTGTGATTCCCTTTCAGAAACTGCATGAGATGAGCCCGTAATCTTAGTTGTCTTGGATTTTTTGAGGAACTTGCAGGTTCATTAATGCCTGCTCCTAATTTCCAAGCTGTGGATTTTCGAACTATGAATGGGATATGTCTTTTAGGTCTGAAATTGATTTTTTGCAAGATGTGGATTTTTGAACTATGAATGGGATATATCTTTTAGGTCTTAAATTGATTTTTTGTTTGGCTTATTATCTGGTATTGGCCTTTTGACTTGATTATGCCATGAAAACACTGTTACTTTCTTTAATTTTCAGCTTCTTGTGCAAATTGGGATTTAGCATGGAGAGCTATGTTAATTGTAGCATATGTTGATGTTGTAGTGTCATTTAAAATTTATTAAGTTTTAGCAGTCGAGTGTATTTTGTTAGTCACCTGATTTGCTGACACCTGCTGCAGAAGTGCTCCATGAGATCTATTTTTTGGTTAAGTTATGTTTTTGGTTTTTCTCTCTTTATTTCTCTTTATTCAGCGTAGAGTGTAGTTGACATTTGAAGTGTGTTTGTTTCTTATATTGGAGTCTTTAATCTTAGGAAAAGTAGGAGTACAACAGCCTAAAAAATATTCTTTGAAATCTCTCTCTCTGTGTATGGAACTGAGTTATGAGAATTTCATGTTGTGTCTCTTTGAATTAGCTTAACCATTGCTAGCTGAAGTTTACAGTACCTGGGGTAAGATTTCTATTTTATTTTCCACTCTCTAATTATTCTTCTTAGGTATTGTTCACATTTCCAGAATAACCTGATGGTTCATTTTTTCAAACCCTACCAAGTCTCAATCAACCTTGACCCATTCCCTTATCAATTAGTCTTAGTTTAATACTGAAGATCCTAAAATCTTTGCTGTCCAAAAATTTCAACACACTTCTTTTTTGAAGTCTGCAACCTACGACTTTATAATTTTAGCCAATTTCAACTTTGTTCAATTCCTATAGTCTACAAATTTTCTACTATCCATTTACACTACGAATTACAAGCTTTCCTCCAAAAAAAAAAAAAAAAAATCAAATATGAAGCATCAGCTCTAAGGTTTGACTTCTCTTGGGTGCAAACAATTCCTTGGGAGGGGGTGTGTGTGTATAAACTAGGAAAAAAATATCAACTTCCTTCAGAAATCAAGCAATGGGATCATCTTCGTGGATTTCCATTTTTTTAAACTCCTTCCTCAATAGTCAATGCCAGACAAGAGAGGCAACCCAACAATCGCAGTAGTACTCCATAAAGCATTGCAGTCCTGCTTTGAATGCCTTCAATCACAGATCTAATGCCCGAGTAGTGAATATAATTATTCAATTCAGGACTTGAATTGAAGGTTGCTTCCTATCATAGGTAATCATGAGAGAATGCAAAATGAAGTTGGTTAAGTAGGATCTTGAATCATAGGCGGTGATCTAAAGGAAATACAAGCTTCTTTTACTTCATTGAGTATGTACCAATTTAGGGTCACTAGAGCTCTAGATATGCAGTGGTGTGGAGTCAAATCTGTTTGACGAGTCCTTCATAAAACCCAACCATGCAAACCTGTTTGATAAAATGCACAACGAGCTAAAATTCGCTATAAGCAACGTTTTAGGACACCAAATTTACTATGTAAAACCCTAATATAGGGAAACGTCCTGGAGGCGTTAAAGCGTAGTTCCAAATCCACCATAAGCAACGTTGTAAGTGTACATACTCTCACTCACAGCACACACCAATCTCACCACAAGTTCACTGAAGCACTCACCCTGTCCAAAGCAACCAATGCTTGGACTCACCAATTTCACTACAAGATCACTCAAAACACTCACCCTGTCCACAGCACCCATTGCTTGGACCAACACACACAAAAGCAAGTAATGAATGAAAAACAAACTCTCAAGTATACAAAATAGGACTACAATATGACTAGCTTGACTTGTGGCTTGAAATAGACTCAGACAAGCTTGAAATGATTTACAACAGATGTTCAAGCTATACCACTGCTCTATTCAAGAATGAGAAGCTTTGATAGATCTCAACCCACCATTTTCTGTATACTGCTTAACTGCAGACTTAGCACAGCTGCATTTTCTATCTATTGCTTGGACCCCAGACTTAACCGGTGATTTTTGCTAGGATTTCTACAAATAAATTCTCAAGAATACAGAAACTCTCACTCTCACTCTCACTCTCACTCTCACAAAGGTCTCTCTACAGTAGCTCTTGATTTGATGGATTAGCAGTGAAAAACCATAGCTTTACTCTCTCTCTCTGACTTGCTCAGTACAAGGCAATGCTGCACCTTTTGAATTCAAATACATGCAGCACCTGAATAGGCTAGCACTGAGACATTCTCTCTGCAATAGAACCTGCTAGAACACAAATGAGCTCACAGGACACGTGGCACTACACTCAAGCACAATTACTATAATACCCTTGAGGGACTGTTAGCGAATTCCTGAAAACTTTGAAAACACAAGGAAGCTGCAGGCATGCTAAATAGGCTGTAATTAAGTGACAAACCGAACAATGCTCCAGAATAGTAATAATCCAAGCACAATGCAGATAATTAACACAGGTAATGCTGCAGATGAGTGAGCAGAGAACTGAGATAGCGAAATGAGAACATGAGTATAGCTTGAGAACAAATATGATATGATGCACACACACAGAGCACACAACATTGATTTTACATTAAAATATCTAATGTGTCTCAAGAGACCATAGACCAACAGGTTTTCCTGGATCAGTCACTATCTAAAGTATTTACTCTGTCTTATCTTTAGAACAAAGTCAGTTTGTGTCACCCGGTTTTGTATCACTAGGATTGGTTTGCTCTACCTACTTTGGTTGATTTGGTTCCATTCGACTGGCTGATATGTTGTAGAATGGTAGATATATAACGTAAGTTAACAAGTGAAGCTTTGAAAGTTAATACTTTGTCTGAAACTTCAAAAGTTAATTATTTTCGAAGCTTCACTTTCCATTAAACTAACAAGTGAAGCTTCAAATATAATTCCTTGATTCTACTTTAATTACTGAGCTTTGTCTCATTCCTTTATTATTTAATCCCAAGATCTTTTTAACCACTTTCAGAATTGTATCATCCCTCTTGAAGTTGGTACATGGATCACTCTTAGCGCTGTCTCTTTTATTCCAAATTGAAACCTTCAATGTATCATTACTTCAAGCATCAATTTATTCCTCTAAGGAGATCTGTTGATTGTTCCCCAACATATGATTTTTTTTTGGGAAATCAGTCTTTCTCAAAATGACCAAAAAAGCACACTTTAATTTTTCAAAACTTATAATTTATAAATCATACCTGTTATGCTGCCTAAATATAATCCAAGATTTTCTTAAAAAACACAAAAAGCCATTTTTCTATGTTTCTAAAAAAATTATAAAATTGAAAATAGAATCATAAAGTTGTCAAAATCATAAAAATCCTAAAATTCGTGAATGTTTTGGTCTAAGTTTCTTAAATCCCTAAAAAAAAAATTTAGTTTTCATTAATAGTAGAATTTTTAAATCCTAAAAAGCACAAATTTGCAAAAGCCTGGTCTCATAAAAACCTAAAAGCTAAGAAGCACGGACACGGATACGGGATACGGATACGACACGACACGGACACGGCGACACGGCAAATCTAAAAAAATTAGGACACGGACACGGCGAATAGTGTATATAAATATATATATATATATCAGCATTAATAATTTTTTAAAAAAAACACTGATATGTTTAGGTTGGAATATATATATATATCACTGATATGTTAGTATATATATATATCAGCATCTTTAGGACACGGACACGGCGAATTGTGGCATCTTTAGGTTAGTATATATATATATCAGCATCTTTAGGGTAGTACAAAACAAAAAATAGAACATATCACCATTAAAAAAAAATAATAATAACATATCAGCATTAAAAATTTAAAAAAAAAAAAAAAAAAAATCCCAGAAAAGTGTGTCCGAACCGTGTCCGAGCTGTCTGAGCCGTGTCCGTGGCGTGTCCGAAAAATAAAATAAAAAAAAAAAAATTCCAGACACGTTTTTTGGCGTGTCCGACACGTGTCGGACACGGATTCTTCGCCCATTTTGGAGTGTCTGTGCTTCCTAGCCTAAAAGAAAATTTTTGGGTTTTATTAATCTATGATTTTTTAGGGGAGGTGATATATGCACTCCCTTTTTCACTATTGTACTCCACTTTTCTTTTCTTTTAAATGAAATGTTAAGAAAGTCCCTAAACTTATTGATGCATCATCCCTTATTTTATAATACCATAACTACCCTTTATACATAATCATTAACTTTTTTTACCGACTTGACTTCAACTAATTTTTTAAATTGTTTTTTGTTCCTCTCAAAAAAGATAATTTACTCAAAGAAATATGCATCAGAAATTAATTTTATATTGAATTTTGTAATTAAAAATGGAAAATCTGAAAAATAAAGAAATGGTTAAGTTGCACGAAGTAATTGATCTTGTTAACACGGGAAGCTCCATTTATTTCAAAGGACAACACTATGATGGTTGGAGGGGGGGGCGTCCTGGTATCAACTTTTCACTTCTGCTAATTGAGCTTGCTAATCTTTAGTATCACTTTGATTGGAAACTAGCAAATGGCGTGAGCACAGAAAATATTGATATGGAAGAGGCATTTGGTCTTACAATGCACACAGTCACACACACAAAAAAACTCCTCTTTGCCTGGTGTCCACCCCTATATATGTGTGAAACTTAATAGAAATTAAGATTGAAGTTTAGAAATCTGAAACATGTTTTCTTATTATTTGTATGAGATTTACTAACTTTAATCCCCACATTTCCAAGTATTACACTCATAAAGACGTGTAAAAAGGAGAAATTCCAGCATATCCAACTTTGTTTGAACATTACAGACCTAAAAGGCATAGAGTCTACCAACAATCTTTCAGCAGAAAAAAGTTAGTACTGAAACTAACACGACTAATTGCCATGATATAGGTGATAATGTTATTAAGCAAATACAGTGCTTAATTTGTGGTAACTATAGCTCATAGCATTAGCAGTAAGTGGAAGTTCCGACCCGTACCTTACTATATGTTTACCCATATCATAGAGGAAGAGAGAGTGTGTGTGTGCATCTTGGAACAATGTTATGACAGGTATAGTGTGTGTGTGTGTGTCTTGGAACAATGTCATGACAGGATTAAAATATACTGATTGACAGTGACCTGGTGAGTTTTTTTTAATTCTCTTATTATTACATTCAAAATTTTTGGGGTGAACATCGAGTTACAGATCCCTGGTTCAGGATAGTTGGAAATGCTACGGGGTCTCAGACTCCTAGTTTTGGGTAGTGTAGAGCCTGATAAATACTATACACCAGGCTCAACTTCGTGGTAAGAGGGGGGGGGGGTTGGGGGGTGTATTTTGGTAATTTATGCGCTTGTTCGGTTGCCCTAGTGCATGAGGGCGCTGTATTTATTTATTCTGAACTCTGTGTATTGTGTGCTGTTTTTCTGAACATAGTGAAATCCCTACAATCCACGTAGCCCTAATTCTTTGGGTGAACCATGTAAAATCTGTGTATTCTTTTATGTGTTTGATCTATTTTTCTCTTAATTTTTGCAACACTCAGTATATAGGCTTGCTCGGATGACCGTAGTAACAGGACACGCCACAAGTGACATTAAGGTATTTGTATAATCAACCAGATGAAGCAAATCCATCATGTGAACACTGGCTAAATATTTAGATGTGGATATCAGTATTCAGTGCTAGTACTGCTCAATTGGGACTTATTTTTTAATAGACGAGCCATTATTTAATGAAATGGTAAAATTTTAGGATGACAATCATGAGCACAAGGCACATTATCTAAGCACAAGTTTCCTGTGGTGGCTTTATGCTTTAAATTAGTACCTGACTCAGTGATGCTAAAGTTTTGGAACTTTTGGTATTATATATCACCACTCTTTGCAAAGAAATGACTTTTGTCATTGAGAGGAGATTTTGGGGTTTTTCATGGAATGGTTTTGCAACCTAAGCTCAGTGAACTTTTCATGTAATCTTGAAAACTTGTGCTCCTATCGGCTAGGTTTAGAGACTTCATGTCCCAGAGTGTGTCATTATTCTCTGTGGGTACTGGAAGAACCTTTTCGTTCTTACTGTATCCTTGGCTGAATGGTATTCCTCTGAATAATCAGTTTGGCCCGAGGATTTGGAGACAGTGTGGTGTTGACAGGTCTACTAAAGTGCTGTTTTTTTAGACACAATAATTAATACTTGGTCTATTACTTCTCAATGGTTGCTGATTCGATTACCTTCAAGAGGATTGTTGCAGGTCATGAAGATGAGATTCATTGGTCTTCTGGATCCTTTTCCTTTTAAGAATGTGTGGAATGCTTGTAGGTGGAGAGGTACTAAGGTCTTTTGGCAACAGTTAGCTTGGAATTCTTGCAGGCCTAGGAGTTGTCTTAGTGCTTTTTTTATTCTGAACAATGTTGTGCCTTCCTTTTGTAACCTTCTTTGTGTCATAATTGTTGGAAGGGCTTTTTCTCTTTTGGTTCACTGCTATGTCTGTGTGGGATTGGTTCTTCTCTCTTATGGGATTCAAAGTGTCTGCTTCATCTTTTTTCGAGTTTTCTGTCCGATTTCTTCGTGTTACAGCTGGCTCTGCTATTAGAGCTCAATTTTGTAGGAATGCCTTCTATGTTGTGGTTTGGATAGGAATGGCAACGGGGCAAGTATGGCATAGGTTTGTCTAAACCCGTACCCGTCCCATTTAATTATGGACAAATCTATATCTGCCCCATAACCGCACGGTTTTAAAGTTTACAGTCCATACCCGCCCTGGAAGATGAGTGTATCCGGTCTGGTCCCCGACTGCCCTGTTTACGTTGTTGTTTTTTTTGTTATCTATTTAAATAAATTGATAAGATATATATATATATATATATGAATACAATAATGTGCATACATCTATGATACTTGTATACATCTACATATATAATATTTTTTTAAAAAATAAAAGTATAAAGTGCAGGTTGGGGCGGATTTTTATCTAAACTTGTTCTCGCCTCGTAACCCATGACAGGTTTAAAATTTTATTCCATATCCTCTCAGACCTCTCCTATGCCATTAGGGACGAGACTCTGGCAGTACAAATTGCCATCCCTAGATTTGGAACCTGTGGACAGAAATGAACTCTAGAATCCATGGTGGATTGCAAAGAAATCCTACTCAGATTGCTACGGAGGCAGTTTAATTTTGAGACTGCTTTTGGTCTTGGGCTCTCCATTTATGATCTTGTTGCTGTGTTAGTGGTGTCTAATTGGATAATTTATTTTTGATGCATGTTGCCTTTGTTGAATATATCAAGTCAAATACTATGAATTATGAAGAAATGATGCATTAACGAGTTTAATGATCTTTTTTTATTCTTTTCTATTATAAGAGAAAAAACAAAGAAGTGAATTGCAATGGTAGAAAAGGAAAGCTATAATATTGTCTCATTATTTTAGGCTCTAATTTTCATGAAGCAAGGAAAAAGTCACAAAATATATATGTGGAAATAGAATGTTAGGATTTTTGAAATTTAAGGGTTTTAGTTCGAATATATATATATATATATATATCTATACACACACACACACACACACTACATATTAGGTATATATGTATATATAATGGTATAGCGGTTAAGGGTATCTTTGGAATTCTGAATTTTGGCCAAGTCACGAGCCATGTGCTTCCAAGCCTTCTATTTAATGTTAAATATGAGATGCTGAACTAACTCTTTACAACAAACTAGATAGTTCCAAGGCTTAAGTATTACAATGATAGTTCAGGCGAATTTCATGAGAGAGAAGAAACTAGATAGGGTTTAGTGCACTTAACCCTACAGAATATGCAGCCTTTGTTTTTTTTTTTTTTTTAACCTAATATGAATATTATATATATATATTTTTTACTTATACATATATTTTTTTATAATTGTATTGTCCCAAATATCCTTATTGTGCATTTTAGTCACCCATTATATCAATTTTTCATTATATTTTGCATCTTATACTAAATATTCGTGTCTCATGACTCATTTAAAACAGAAGTAGGTTATTAAACTAGTCATACAGTCTTATGAGTTACACAACTTCTTTATTAAACAGGTTATATACAGGTTGTATTGTTTACTTATTTAATAAACAGGTGGTGTTTGTGTCAAACGTGTTGTGTTTATATTGATCAATATAATTATATCGACACGATACAAATGTAACCCACAACAACATGAATTTTTATTCTAATTATTAGTCGATATTATATTTGTTGTGACACTCGGTTGTTGCAGTAAAAAGTCTTAAACTCGAAAATTTATTATACGGTTCAGAACTATATAGTCCCGCTTACTTACCTGCGGTCAAATAAAAAAAAAATTGACACAATTGAATAGTTGACCGCACGTGATTGGTCGAGATCACATAAAAATTTATCCCTAAACATTTACTCTTTGAACACTGTTATTTGTCTCGAAAGCTGGTAATACGACTACTTACATTGGACCTGTCTAGTACGCGTTTTATTTATAGTGTTTTTGTTTTTGTCTGGTTTTGTAGCCGTGAACAGTGGAAAAAACACGTGTTTTGTTTTATAGTGTCGAAACTTTTCTTGAATAGTAGCCAAAAGTCAAAACATCAACATGTTTCCACACTGTTGTATTATAGCAATGAACAGTACCAAAAAAAAAAAAAACTCTAAAATGACCTTTTAAAAAACAAAACTTGTAATACTTTTTTACAACATGTTTTTATGTTTTTGTTTCCAAAAATTTTACAGCAAGTAAATATTACCAAGCATGCTATCAATTACTATTAAATATATCAAACAACAAAACACTTATTTGTTTCAAATAGAAAACAAAAATATAAAAAAAAAGTGAGTAGTCTGTTCCAACTATCACAATTAATTAAAAATAAGTGTTGTATGAGGTATATGAGCATTCCCCCTTCTTAGATTTGTCTAATTTATGGTCCTTCCATTTTAAATGTTCGCCTTTTGGGTGTACCAAAATAACTGTTCCTTGTTCCTTGTTTTGTATAGACGAGAGAGATTAAAATTAGATTTAATTCAATCATCAGATTATTCGTGTAACATATATTTCACACATTTATATATATGAATGTATGTGTTCTTTAGGTTTTATATACCTCTATCTGTTTGAAATACTTTTTTTATTTCTGCAGATTGTTAATTAATTTATAATCTGTGAATTTGTGAAGATAAATGGCAAAAGCTGCACAGCTGACCTCTAATTTCATACTACAGAAGGTGACTTCTTTCCCTTATCATAAAAAACTACGTCCCTTTTCTGTTATTGTAATTATAATCATTATATTATTATTTTCATAGTGAATTTAATGCATATCTTATGGTTTATATCTTCAACTTTTTAGAATATACTATGTGGAAATCAATTAGTTTGCTATGTTGGCTAACAAATTTTTTTTCTTCTTTTTTTCGATTTCTAGTGTAACACTAGCAGTATTTATTTGGAGGATCGGATTAGTCAATTGCAAGATGACATTCTTGTTATCATTTTGTCTCTGTTGACAATGCGAGAAGCGGCAAGAACTAGTGTTCTCTCAAGTAGATGGAAAAATCTGTGGATCATGACTGGTAGTTTGGACTTTGATGCTTCGAAGGCGTTGTGGGAAGTTAAAAATAGAGTGGATGAGAATTTCCTGAAAGATGAAAGGGCTAAGTATGTAAGCTGGGTAAATCGAGTCTTGAACTCACATAAGGGCACAACTATAGAAAAATTCAGAGCTTCTTTTGATTTGGATAAATTTTATGGGATTTATATTGATTCTTGGATCAACTTCGCTATAAAAAAGAGAGTTCAAAGGCTTGAGCTGAACTTAAAACGACTTTATTATTCTAGAAGGAGCGGGCGTTACTCTTTTCCAAAACATTCCCATGTTTTATCCAGCCTCAAAAATCTAACTTCGCTTCGTTTGAATTGCTTAGATGTGAGTGGGGAAGCTCTTGAATACTTATTATCCAACTGCTTGTTTCTTGAAGAATTGCATGTTCAAGACTCTGAACTTGTAGTAAATCTAAAAGTTTCTGGTCCATCACTCAAATTGAAGTCGTTAGCGATGGTTAACTGTTACAATTTGGAATGTATTGGATTTCTTCAGTGAATCTTGTGTCTTTTAAATATCAAGGGGGCTCAAGCACACGCATTCTTTTGGAGAATGTCCCCCATCTCATGGATGTATCTTATGGGGGTCGCTATTCGGATTATATAATAAATGATTTTCGTCAGTTCCCTAGTTATATGTTTCAGCTAGAGAAACTTGCATTGAACTTGAGGGATGAGGTATGTATTAACTTGTCTGTGTGTGAGATATGGATTTTCGGTATATGTTATCCTTACTCTTGGTTTAATTGTTCAGGTACTTTATAACTTTCCCAAGTTTCCCAAACTAAGAAATCTCAGGCAATTGGAATTGACAGTGGATGCATATGATAAATGGAGCCTCCTCCCCTGTGTTTTTCTGCTAAACGCATGTCCTTTTCTATATAGATTTTCGCTTGCAGTGAGTACTCTTAATTTTACAATATATTTTGATAGTTACCTGATTTGTTTCACTCCTGCTCTAAATGTGCTCCATGAGATTATTTTTTGATCAAGTTATGTTTTTGGGTTTTTACTCTTTATTCACAACAGTCTAAAAAAGTTATTTGAAATCTTTTTTTCTGTATGGAAATGAGTTATGAGAATTCACTTTTCGAGTAAAACAAAAAGAATCTGTTACTCCCTCCTCTTTTCCCTCTAACACTAGGAAATTTCTTGCAATGAAGACTATAAATAGTACTCAAATTCTTGTGGATAAGCTGTTTGCTTGCCTCGAAAGAAGTACGAGTAAGTAAAGTGATCTCAGGTAAGCAATCCCGCCAATAAAGCCTGAAAGAGAAAGATAAAGCCTGAAAGTCAAACGACAAGGAGATACTGGTTCCATCCCCAGGAATTTTGTGCATGTTTTAATTAGATTAATCATTGCTAGGTGAAGCCTACAGGAGGACCTGGGGTATTTTATTTCCAAATCTCTAATTATTCTTTTTTTATTTATTTTTTATTTTTTATAATTAAGCAAATTCATTCAAAAAAACCTTCAAAAGGGGAACGCATCCCATAAACAACAAAGGGATCCTATGGTCCCAAGGAAGAAACAAAATCAGTCCTCTCCTCCGGGGAGGAACAATGCCTACCCGAACCCCAAAAACATAAAGATGTAATAAAAACTGACTTAAGAACAACAATCGAGGATTCCTATCCTTCAAAGGATCTATTATTCCGCTCCCTCCACAAACACAACCATAAACACAAAGGCACCATCCTCCAAAACCCACGAGCATGACCTACCACATAGCATCCTCTCCAAGCCTCCATCAGTCCCCTCGCAGATCTAGGCATCACCCACGAAACCCCAAACATAGCTGACAAAAGACACCAACAGCCAAAAGCCACTGGACAGTGAAAAAGAAGATGATCCACCGATTCGCCATTGCACTTGCGCATACAGCACCGTTGACTGTGATTTGTCTTCGCTGCCTCAAATTGTCAAGTGTCAAGATCTTGCCCCACACCACTATCCAAGTAAAGAACGCCACTTTAAGCGGCACCTTAGATATCCACACTGTTTTCCATAGAAACGTAATCCCTGTAGAATCTGAGAGGCATCGGAAAAATGATCTCACTTCAAACCTTCCCCGAGAAGAAGGCACCCAAACAAGCGAATCTCTCTCTCTGCCACGGGTCTCATGCCGATACAAGCATTCTAACAAACCGCAAATGTCATCCAACTCCCAATCCTGAAAAGCTCTCACAAACCGCACATCCCACGTCAGCCTCCCACTATCAAGCCGATAGCAGTCAGCAACCGAGGCATGCCTGTCAACAGCAATCCTAAACAATCTCAATCCATCCCCTTATCCGTTGGCCTTAGTTTAATACTAAATATCCTAAAATCTCTGTTGTCCAAAAAATTTCAACACACTTCTTTATTGAAGTCTGCAACCTACCATGTTATAATTTAAGCCAATCTCAACTTTGTTCGAATCCTAAAGTCTACAAATTATACTCCCTCATTTTAAACTATAAATTACAAGCTTTCCTCAAAAAAAAAAAAAAAAAAAAAAAAAAAAAAAAAAAAAAAATCAAATATAAAACTAAGTGTAGGTATAACTATTGTAAGTTTCAAGTAACATCCTCCATTCTGGTGTTGGAATCCATCATTAGACAATATCAACTTCTTGCAGAAAGCAAGACATGGGATCATCTTCATGGATTTCAACTATTTTTGTACGAAAAGGTTTCTAAAATGTCTCTTTGAACCTACCAACTCTTTCATCGACAGTGATTTGATGCTCAGCATCTGGTGTTTAGGGATAAAACTCCTTCCTCAATGCCAGACATGAGACAACAGAGGCAACTGACAAACACAGTAGTACTCCATAAAGCATTTTAATCCTGCTTTGAATGCCGTCAATCACAGATCTAATGCTGAATAACGATCTTGAATTATGCAATTCTGGACTTGATTTGAAGGTTGCTTTTGATTATAGGTAATCATGGGAGAATGCATAATGAAGCTGGTTAAGTAGAATCTTGAATCATAAGCAGTGATCTAAAGGAAATACAAGCTTCTTTTACTTCATTGAGTATGTACTATTTAGTATTTGTTTTATTAACTAGTGCACATATAGATGTTCCCTTCATTTTCTTTTCGGGACTTAGACTAGTATTATATAAATATAAAAATTCATTTTCCTAAGCATTACTTGTCGAGGGGAGAGAGTCATTATTTTCATAATGGATACCATTGAACCTCTCTTTCTTGAGCCAATCAAATATATCACAATTTCGATACCGTGGAGTTACTTTCTCCAAGCTGGAAAGGCAAAGGGTGCACAGGTGTCCGTATAAAGATCAAAAATGGGGTTTCGTGGATCAGTCATGTTCTAAAGTATTCACTTTTTTTGTCTTCAGAACAAAGTTGATTTGTGTCAACACCTGGTTTGCGTCACTAGGATAGATTTTCTCTACCTACTTTGGTTGATTTGGTTCCATTCGACTGGCTGATATGTTGTAGAATGGTAAATATATAACAAAAACTAATAAGTGAAGCTTTGATACTTGAAAATTAATACTTTGTCTGCAACTTCTCATTTGTGCTAAATATTTAATTTAGTCATGAATACTTTGTCTAAAACTTTTCAATTGTTCTAATCTTCTAATTTAGTCACTTATAATTTGGACTTTTAGTTCTGGGTCCAAGATACGGCTTTCATTTAATATATTCAAACATTTCATAGTCTTCAACTAATTAAAAAATTTGCTTAGGTTTATTTCGAGTTTGTTGGTAAGCTTGAAATGTATATTACTTTCCCCTTCTGATAGTATGCATGAAAATTTCCTTGCACTCATGTAAATATATTGCGTTTCAAATTTCCTTTAGATGTGAATTATTTTTTGCCATCTCTCTATGCCTAGTGGTAGCAATAATCTTGTACTGAAAATTGCTCAGTAGAACTCTCACAATTAAAAATCAAATAATTTCGGTTTTGGCAACCGACAAATTTCATTAGTTTGAATCTGAAAGTGAGTTGAATTTTGAGAGCTCAGCGAGTGTTATATATTTCTCTTACTTGTTTCCCTTTCATTCACAACCAGATAAAAGTAATTCATTTGGACATTTACACTTAACTTGGACAACTTTTGCTGCTAACTAAATGACTATAATTCTCAACTCTTTGTCTGAGTTGTTATGGTGCAAGTTAAGCGTTGCAGTAGTATGTGTTAGTGTAACATAATGTATAATGAAACTTTGTGAAAAGTCTCAAACTTAAATCAATTAAATCTTCTGTCTGGTACGTGTTGTTCATGGTTTTCTTGAAATAGTTGGCTGTCTGGTACGTGGTGTTCATGGTTTTCTTGAAATAGTTGGCTGTCTGCTCAAAATACTTGAGACGGTGTTCAAAGATTGCTTTGAAATTGCATTTCCAGTTACTCATTTATTAAAAATAAGGTATTCTTTATATATAATTAACAATCCGCAACATTCAAAGTGTGCACAAAAATACAGAAAAATAAAAAATAAAAATGTTTGCATTCCGTCTTATAGAGTTCAACAAGTTGATTTGTGCTTGAATATATTTTTCACTGCACTGATTATTTTTGCTCTTTGCATGTATATGATGAGGATATCCCTAGTTATCTTCTTCTTCGAACAAGCACGTTATAATTCTTATTTTTCTGTGGCAGTTTATTCAGTGCAGTGGAACTTCTATAGGAAGAAAAACGGTAGGGAATTCTAAAAAACATACGCTCAAATGCATCAAAGTAGTGGAATTGGTTGCATTTGCTGGGCGTAAACCTGATGTTGAGTTTGCTGTGTATATACTTGAGAAGGCCGTGTCACTTGAGAAGATGATTATTGATACACGCTACCTGTATTCAGTCGGAACTCCATCCGAGAATGTGGAAGATGAGGAGAGACTAGCAGCAAAAAAGTGTGCTGAGCAACTCCGTACAAAACGACGTCCGGGAGTTGATTTTGTGATACTTTAAGTTATCAAGAACTACACGATGATTGTTGTATTAGTTCAAACAGGAAAAGAGCTTCCATGACACTTGTTACTATTTTTCTTGTAAATACTTATGAACTAGTACATTCTAATGGAAGTCTCTCTCTATTGAAAAGGGCAACAGAATTGTGTTTCAAGCATTTATTTTGTGATTATGGTGATAAATTACTGATTGGTGATTTTAATTTACTACTGATAAAGTTTGATTTTTTCGATTTGAGTAGATATTGATAAATGGGGAGGATGACTCCCAGCAAGAGAGATTTTGGTAACTGATTAGGGTTGAGAGGGGGTTGAGAGTGAGTTTGGTGCTTCAAAGTTGAGGGAATCAGTTTTGAGGAATTAAATTCTTGATCACTGACTACTCACTAGGTTATCCATATTGATCACTGATGTGTCTAATCACATGCACAAATAATTCCTAAATTTTGTTTATTTGATTTTAGATTCAGAACACAGCTGTCATCATTTTTTTTTTTTTTTTTTTTAAACTTCAATACTTGTTGATGTTTTATTGGGTCACATCATCGTAAGAAGGATCCTTCTTATGCGGCCTAAGACAAACATTGTTCATTAATTATTACAAAAATTAGGAAAGTGATAAATATATATAAAAAAAAACAATGCTTGCTTTAGGTCGCATAAGAAGGAACCTCCTCCTTATAATGAGGTGGCCCAATACATATTATTTGTGGGTTTTGAATCTAAAATTAGACATTGTTCAGGAGGAATATATATATATATATATATATAAATTCATGAAAAATGATATATATCATGAATTCATTTTCATGATACCAATAGTGAAAGACTGGCACTCTATTTATTAGCCATGTATATTTTTTTTTTCTATGTTTTTTCGTTGATATAGAAATTAAAAGTTTCCTCCTTTTTTATTTTTATTTTTTTCATTTATGTATAAATTTTAAAACTTTTCATGTTCATCTTCCCTTCTTTTTCTTTTCTTTTCTTTTTCTCATCCCAATTTCTTCTAAATTTCAAAACATTCCATGTTCTTCTTTTCTTTTGTATCGAATTACAAACTTCTCATTCAAATTTAATTGTTTAAAGATGATTATCACCAAATAAAAACAATAAAAGTAGTTCTATTAGATTTTTCTATGAAAAAAGTTATTTAATTTGGTATAATGTGTCGTTCATACATTATATATAACATGTAATTCTGTACTTGAGAGAGAGAACATGATGATAGAGCCAATGTATGCCTAGAGTCATTCCCCCACTCGGCCCCACTCTTTATAATATGTGGTGTGTGTGTGTATATATATTCTCTAGAACAATATTTGATTTTCGATTCAAAACACAAAAATTATATGAGAGAGAGAGGGAAGGGTCTATTTTTATTGCCTGTAGTCATCGAAAAAAAAAAAAAAAAAAAAAAAAAAAAAAAACGATGTTTTTATTGGGCCCACTCATCATAACAAGGTACGACCTAAGGCAAACATTATTCATATAAAAATGAGAGACATTTTAAAGAAGGGTAATGCCAAGTCCGACCAAATAAAGGTTTTTTTTTTTTTTTTTTTTGGTAAATACCAAATAAAGTAAATTAGGACAAATAAGTCTTTTACTTTTGAGGTTTTTTCCCATTTAACTTATAAATAACTAAATATTCCATTTATATCCTTACTAAATTATATGCACTCTTGCAAAATTAGATATAAAATCAGACTTTCATATATAACAAAATTAGACATAAAATTAAAAAAAAGAAAAGAAAAATATACATTTTATTAAATTTTTCATAGAATAATTAATTTTTTATACTAAAATAGTGTATTGTATTATACATGTGTTTTTTTAATTGAATTTAAATTACATTAAATTGTTATTTCAACTCATAATGAAATATTATTATTAATTGACTAAAACTTAAAAGAAAAAAAGAAAAAGAAAAAAGAGATTATATATCAATTGTTGAATAATTTATAATTACAAATATTTACTTGTATTTATTAAGAATATAAATGAAAGATATAGAGTGATTTAGGAACTAAAAAGAAAATCTCAAAAGTAAGATTTATTGGTTCTAAAGAAATTCTTTAGTACTTATTTGTCTTTCAATCAGAAAATTAGTACTTGATAATAATTTTTCCTAGATAAGATAGCGTAGAAACCTCTTTCTACAAAGAGAATATTTCATTATGAGTTGAACAAAAGAAACAAGATAAAGAATCATCATACCAGAATCAAAATCAATCTACAAACTCAAATGCTAAAAGTCTTTCATCCTGCAAAATAATGTCATAAAAAGTTTCAGTGCTAAAAAGCAGTGTGCATCTCAGCAAAAACTAGCAGATTAGAATACAGCCATTGGAGAATGGAGATAGTCACACACCAACGTTAGGCCCCAATAGCAACTTTTGGTTCTGGCTGACCAAAAGTCTAAGCTCCAAGTTCACTTTGGAGACAAGCTACAGAACTTAGAGAAGAATGAAGATGCAGGGAAAGTAGAGCTGAGAGACAGAATGTTCAACATGATCGAGTCACTTCTCTCTTATCAGATATCCATGCCATTTAATTGAAGCTATATGCCCTGTATGTTGAAATCTACCGCTAATAAAATGAATCATTTACAATAAGTGTGTGTGTCCATATATATATATATATATGGTATGTATAAGCTTACCAGATCTGAGAGTCGTGATTATATTAACTTCAGCGCACTCCAATGGCTTCCCTTTTCATTTGGGTTTGTTTTGATCAACCAGAGAAACCCTAGAATGAATCGGTAAACATTTTTAAGTAGCATAAATAGAACTTCAAACGATGTCGTTTAACTACATACAACGACCATTTTGTGACCAGCGTCGCCGCATACCTATATATAAAGAGACAGCTGATTTTCAATAAATACTAATCTTTCTTTTAATATTTATTAAAACATTAACATGTCACATGTGCTAACATTAAATTTATTATTATTATTATTTTACATGGTCTTTGTATAATTACACGTTTCCATTCTAATTTTGAGTAATATATAGTAATGGTTTTTAAAAAAGAAAATTTCAAATTAATAAATAATATTAATTACTGTCCACCATGAAACCAAATGGTTTGCTAAATGGTATAATTAATTATAAAGAAAAGAAAAGAAAAAGTCTAATTTTCATTATTAGTTTTGTTACTTCTTAATTCAACTACTCCTTACAAAACCCATGTAATTTTATTATCTAAATTGTGTAAACAAAACACGGTTGATTCACTTGCTTTAAATTTTAAGTAATGTTATCATGATGTCACAGTTGCTAAGAGTTTGTAATCTTTTTGTTATGATCATGTACAAATATTAACGCACGCATCTAACTGTTTGAAAGATGATTTGTATGAGAATTATTTAGTCCACCACATGACTAAATAATCCATTACTCGAAACACATCTTCCTTTGGCTTCCTCTGTTCTAAAACAGAACACAACATCAAAATTGGGGATGGAAAAATATACCTAAACCCAATTACCCTCCCAAACTTACCCACTAATTAATGATTATTGAGTGGGTAGTTCAGCTGAGGGGTTACTAATGGGTCAATCATTAATAGGTATTATATTTAGTGGGTTGGTAGCGGGTTAAGAGTGGATTACTAATGGGTCAATCATTAATGGGTAATATAATAAGTTTTTCACCGCCTAGGCACGCCTGGCTGTGTTTTTTTTTTTTTTAAATGATTATTTTGTCTCTTAAGCCAAAAAAATGTACTTGTGTCAACTTAATAAACAAATAAAAAAGCTTAAGCATATGAGATAAGGATTTTTTTGTTCAAAAGAATTACAAATAAAAAAGTCTAAGCATATGAGACAAGAATCTTTTGTTCAAAAGAATTAACAAATAAAAAAGTTTAAGACCGAACATAGATAGAGTGAAAGTGTGAGACTAACGACGTAGCCATGTCAATTCTTTCTCTCTGTCTAGTTCTCTTCTCTCGTCTTTTTTTTTTTTGGCGTCTATTTTTTTCTCATTTTTCTCCATTAACACTTTCTCTCTCTTCTCATCTACTTCTTGTCTCTATTTTATTGTTGTTGAATGCTTAAATAGTTGATGAATTTATTTTTTTTATATTTGATATTAATTTTTATAATATTGATATGACTTATGAGATACGAATGCTATTATGATAGTTTTAAATTTTAATTGTGCGCCTAAGGTGTTAAAGAGAAAAAGTAGAGAGAATTTGAAAGAAAAAAGTTAGGAGGGTGGGTTATTTAGATGCTAATGTATAAAGTTTTCTGACAAAAATTTATTCATAATCATAAAAAATATATATATATAAAAAAAAAAAAAAGAAAAAGAAAAAGAAAAAGGAAAAGAAATTCGTGATAAAAAAAACTGTCTTCTATACTTTCATCGTTTTCGCTTTGAAAAAAGAAATGAAAATGGAAACTGCAAGTTGCAAATTATTGATGAAAAACTATATCAAACTAGCCGTGTTTCGGCCCAAATTCAAAATTTTTAGCTAAAACTAGAATATGATTCGGGCCTATTAACAAATTTTCAAAAAGTTCTCTCATCTCCTTTTTCTCTCCCCTATCTTCTCTCTTCTCTCTTCTCTCTTCTCATTGAGGAAATAAATTACAAATCACAAATCAGACAAACAAAATATACCTACATATGGTATGTATTTTTATTTATAGGAAATGTTCTAAAAATAATACTATACATACATACATATACATATATATATATATATAAAGGTTTTGTGTTTAAAAATATTCATAATTGGGTTAATAATGAATTTACTAACTCGTTACTTACTCGCCCATTCAAAACCCATCCACACCTCTAATCAAAATTAAGTTTAACTCTATCAACTGAAGGAGGATGTCACACGCCTCGACATACTAATATGAACCATGCTCACCTCTGACCAACACTTGATCTACAACCCTTGCTATGGTTATAGAAGGATGAAACCCTAAATACAGTAAAGACTAGGCTTACTAAAAGCTCACTTCCAGAAAAATAACAACAAAACAAAGTAACCCTTAAAAGGCCACAGCACAACCAAATACATACAACATAAATGGGGACAAACCCAAGCATAATCAAACAAAACAAACAAGCCATCATCACCTATTCTCCACAACTTGTTCTTGGTCAATCTGGATACTTAAAGCTATGCTCATACTTCAACTACGCTTCGAACGCCACATCTGCAGCTTTAGTACAGTAGAAGTTCAATTCGTTCCATAAAGCCCCCTGTTTCAATATGCAAAAGTAGCACTGATATCGCAGTAGCACCTCTGTTATGTCTGATCGGGAAATCTTTGGATGAGTAAAAGCTTCAAATGTTGGTGTATCTACCACCAATCAATGAAGATACAAAAAACATAGGTTGGGGGAAGCAGAATTTGAATAGAAGATAGCCATTAGAGAATGGATAGTCACATACCAACGTTAGGACACATAGCATCTTTTGGTTCTGGCTGATCAAAATTCTAAGCTCCGAGTACACTCCGGAGAAAAGCTACAGAACTTAGACAAGTCTAGACCAAAATCCACAAATTTTCAAAAAGTTTTTCTCTTACCCTGTTTCTCTCTCAAATGGAGTTCAACCAGCAAGTAGAGGATGCCAGCCATTAGTAAAAAGCAACCATCTAACTAAAATTTCTCTATTTGAGAAAATGACATGTAAATGGCAAGACAACAGGAACAAAATTACAGTTCATATGAGTGAAAGCAAAACAAAGTACCAATCAAAAATATATATATTAGGAGGAAAAAAATTGAATTATCCAGACATCATCGTACAAGAACAAAATGATGCTTAAATTTCACAAATTGAAGTCAATCAATCTTAAAGCATAAAAAGCAAACGTCCCTTGGTATTTTATATTGCCACTGCCGCTACTCCATACAACTTCCATATGCACTTCAAAACCATTTGCTATGCACTTCAAAATGATGCTTAAATTCCCCAACTACTACAACCATTCATGTTCTTAAATTAAAGGGGAACCCTTGAAATTGTGTCTTGCCTTGATGTGCCTCAATGACTTCAGGAATCACATTCTGATACTTGCTCACAAACTTCCCCGCGAATATCGTTTCAGTCATTCGGAGTGCAGAAATTAAGCTCAGGTCTCCCTTGATCAGATTTCTCGACATCAAAAGTTGCAGAACTGCACACCTCGGAACAATCCTCTTCTCCAAGCTAAATAGCAACAGATTTGGATGCTTGGAAATTACGTTAGGCTTCAATTTCAGCTGATTAACAAAGAAGTCCATTAATTTCCTGATCTTCTCCGCTGAAGTACTCATACACATTGGTTGTAACTTGAATGCTGCGATAATGTCATCTTCTGACAAACCAAAACTAGAATAAACTCCCAATTTTTGCTCCCAAAGTGATTTGCTCATCATTGCCATTGTATCCATGGCTAACATGAATTGCCGGGTTGTGGGATCAAAATTCATTTTTTCGACTTCCCTAACCACCTCACTAAACCGATCACTTTTTAAAAGTAGGGACTTTGGTTGATACATGAACCATTTTACAACTAATGACTTGGGTACACCATGATTCAACAAGATTGCAATATTTGGTTCCAACACCTTCTCCAATTTAAATACAAGTATTCCATACCACGCCCTGATTGGTTTCAAGAAATCCTCATTGGTGCCAACAATACTTCTAATGACCTGAACAGCAGGTATGAGTTGGTTTTCAAGGCTGCTTTGAAGGATAGAAGGTATAGATGACAATATCTTTGCAATTTCTTCTTCTGAAAAGCCCAAAGATTTCAAATATTCCAATTTTGGCTTAAAGTTTCTCTGTGCATTGAATAAATATAATTTTGGACACTTCATGGTTAAACTTGAAATTTGCTTTTCACTGAAACCACAAGTTTTGAAAAACTCAACAACTGCATGTGCATCAATTCCAAGCACACGCGGCTCTATTTTGAGCACTTTGACAAGGTTAGTGCCAGAAATTCCTAAAGATTGAAACAACTCAATATTGGGTTTGAGGGTTTTGTGTGGATCAGCTAGAAGTATCTGAGGACGAATTGCTATCAGATTTTGTATATGGTTCTGAGTCAAACCATGGGTTTTCAAAAGGTTTAACACTGAATTCGAACTACTAGAGACGGGATTGACAGATGAGGTTGAAAACAAATATGCATGCCATTTAATTGAAGCTATATGCCTTGTATGTTGAAGTCTACTGCTAATAAAATGTATCATCGAACTCATTTTCAACATGTGTGTATATATATATATATGGTATATATAAGCTTACCAGATCTGAGAGTCGAGATTATATAATCTTCAGTGCACTCCAATGGCTTCCCCCTTCGTTTGGGTTTTTTTCGATCAACCAGATAAACCCTAGAAACAATGGGTACACATTTTAAAGAGGCATATATATTACATAGACTTCAAACGATGTCGTTTAACTAAATACAACGACCATATGTGATCACCGTCGCCGCATACATATATATATATATATATATATATATATATATTGGTGGAACCCACTTACTTATCTTGCTTCTGGCCCTTCGATTTCAAGAAATTATAATCACATAAATTCCAAGTGCTCCTGAATTTATATATTGGTGTAGATGCACCTAGGTCACCTAGTTCATCATTATGATTTTATAAATTATTATTGTGCCGTGAAATGATATTGAACCTTATATATAATACTTCATCTTTTTCATGCAATGTAAGATCATGATATTGCTTCACATTCGTTCACAAAAATCTTCACAAATAACGTTTAAAGAATAGATGGATAGAATTAACCGAATAGAAAAAAATTAGAATGAAAAAACAGAAAATGTATTTACAATTTTTTTAAATAGATACTATTGTAAAGAATTATAAAAATATAAATTTAAAAATTATTATCAAATTGTCAATGAAGATTTTACAAGTGGGACCTTGTAAAAAATGCATACAATATTAAAGGCTTTGTTTTTTTTTTTTTTTTTTTTTTTGGGAAATTTAGGTTTAAAAAGAATAAACCACCTATACATGCTTTGTGGGATTCTCAAAGATTGATAATAAAAGCATTCTAACTAAAATTTATATTTAATGCATATCATATAGGAATTTTCAAATTAAAACATGAAATTTAAGAAATATAGGACATAAAGAGAGTATTTTTTTTAGGGGTGGCAAAATGGGTCACAACCCATCAACCAGCCTATATTCGCCCACTTTTTAATGATTTTGGGTGAACTATATTTAATTTGAGGGGTGAAGATGAATTGGGTAATTTTTAACCACTTAATTTGAGGGTCAAGATGGGTTGAATATGGCCTCATTATATAATAAAGACACATCTATTCTATTGAACTCAACTCATTTCTCTTTCTCTAAAATTCTGTCTCTAAATTTGTCTTTCATCAATCCTCTGTCTCTAAGTTTCTCTCTCTAGAAATTTCTTCTCTTTCATTCACTTCTTCTCTCTAAAACGAGTCAATAAATATTACTGAGTTTGAGATTGTTTCTTTTATTTGTTATTAAATAAAATTTTAAAACATTCGCAAAAAAAAAATTATTAAAAAAAATAAAATTAAAATTAAATTAAAATTAAAATTAAAATTAAAATTAAAAATAAATAATAATCAAATAATTAAAAATTAAATAATTTTAAAATTTTAAAAATTATAAAAATAATTTAAAAAATAGTTAAAAAATAATAATTAATGGGTCCACGAGTCATAACGGGTTGATCCTATACATTTTGACCTGCCCATTTTCAACCCGTTCTGAACGGATTGAATATGGGTCTTGACCCATGAACGGGTTGAATATGGGTCTTGACCCATGTTTGACCTGCCCATTTTCAACCCAACCCAAACCCGGCCCAACCCATCCATTTGTCACCCTTAATTTTTCTACACTAAGGGTATAAAGGTAATCTGATATTAACCAAAATTAGTAATCGAATTAAAACATGATAGTAATCGAATTTTAAAAATTAACTAAATTAAAAATCAAAATCAAAATTTTTTTTTTTTGAAAAGTAATAAAAATCAAAGTTGCAGACTCTAATATTGATAAACAAGATTTGTCATTCTAACTATTCTTAGACCTGAATGAAATTAAATAAATAAAATTAACAATTCTATTTCTCATAATCCTTTGGCTTTGCCTACAATTTGAGTTCAATTTGCATTATTTTAGGTACTTTATACACTATTCTAGTGCATTACTATTTTAGTTACACTATTCTAGAGTATTGATCGACATCTTTATTGTATTTTTTTTTTTCCCTTCTAGTTGGTACTTTCATACGCATACGTCTCTGCTGAGACTTGAACCTCCCTTTAGGAAGTAAGAGACCGATACTGCTAGACCACTGGCCCGTTAGTCATCTTTATTGTATTTAATTTTAGTCATTTATAGAAGATAAGAATAGGGCATCTAATTTGTTACAACCAAGTTATTAACTTCATGTATAGATAGTTGTGCATAACAAAATTTATTTTTACATTAGTTTTACAAACAAAAGTTAAAATGGAGAATAATGAAGATGTGTAAATCATCCACTTCGAATATGGCCTACCGGTTGGCTTGCTGGACTGTGGTGCTTTGCAAGTTCAAGGTCTAGGTTTTGAATTCCTGCTGGATGTTCTTTGTGGCTAGCTTGTTCTTAAACCACTCCAACGCTACCCTTGATGACCAGAGGATCATCATAAGGGAGTTGTACCCTAGATAAGTCTTCATCCCCAAATTTGATTATGATATTCCCAGATACGATGGTGTTCACGGTAGCGAGTTTCCTCAGCTTATGTACCGCTCTCAGCCTGGACCAATATACCTCCTCTGATTCCTGGTCTTTTCTAGTTAATCGTGAATTGTGTGGATCACCTTCATGTGATTGCCCTCCACCTTTCTGGGGTTGGAATTTGTCTTCCTCTGCCTCGGCTGTTCTTTCAGCACGATATAATCCTCTAGTTCACCCCTCAATATCATGGACTCCACCTATCTTTTGAGGGTTCTACAGTCATTAGTGGTGTGCCGTAATCTCTTTAAAAGGAACAATGTTTGTTCTTGTCCCTCTACTCCAAAGGTTGCCCCATCAGTGGTGGGGCTGAGAACCTTGCCTTATTTTTCTTGAAAAAGCCTGGCTAGTGTTGTTTTGAAGGGGTTACCTTTTCTTCGGTTCTCTGCCTTTTCTCCAAGGTTAGTTAAGCCGAAGCTAAAACGGGATGGTTCCTCGGATTCTTAGAACCCGAAGCTTTTTCCTTCGGCTTGTTTTCTATCGAGATGAGGGTAGTGTGTTGAACCTGATTGGGTACGTTCTCCTCGAGTTGAACGTATACCTGAACTCTAGAGTTCAGAGTAGGCATGTTCGGAAGGGAGTACTTGATTAAAGAGGTATGAAATTTAGTGCCTTGGATCATGGCGATCTTGAACGTTTCCATGGCCATTGTAGGGTGACAGTCTGGTATTTTTTATGCTTCTATGTTGTATCTAGTTAGGAAGTCCTATAGTTTTTCTCCCCTTCTCTGCCTAATGGTAAACTGGCTGGAGATAGTCTTCTTCTGCTTTTTATTGCCGCAATACTGGTCTAATAATACGGTACAGAGAGTCTCGTAATCCGGAATCGACTTATGTAGCCTATTCTTAAACCATTCCAACACTGCCTCTGTCAGACTGGTGGGGAATACCTTGCACATGAGCGGATCGTTGTGATTATCCATGGCCATCTTTTGGGAATAATGGTCCAAGTGCTGGGAAGGGTCCCCAGTTCCGTCGAACTGTGTGAAAATTGGCATGGTGAACTTTTTTGGCCTTTCGACATAGTAAATCTCGTAGGTGAAGGGGGTCTTGATCAGTGAAGACTTGTGTGCTTTGGTCATCTCTCCTAGCGTTTGTATCCTCAGCATCTTTCCTTCATCGAAGTGAGCTGGGACGCTATTGGACCACACCGTGAGTTTGCGGCTTAACTCGACCTGCTCGTTATGTGTCTGCTGGTGGGGATGATTCTCCAATGCTCCGGCCTCAGTTCTCGCCTTCCTTCTCTCTGGCCTTCACTGGTTCGGGCTTCCGTCGCTCTAGGTACAGCAGGGTTGGGGAGGTTGCCGTGAGCCTCATCCGACAGATCAGCCTGAAGCTACGGCAGCTGTGCCGTGATCTGCTCTATAGTGGCTTGGAGAGCGTCATTCCATTGTCGAAGCTGTGTGATTTGAGCCAATTTGGCTTCGTTTGCATGGCGGAGTGCCTCAAACTGTTGTATGAACTTCTCACCCATCTTTTGCATCAGTTCCATCTGCTGATTGTTTGTGGCTTCTCCTGTCGACATCCCTGAGCGGAGTTGCATATAAGGTCAATAACTACTTCTGGGAGTATATCTTTATACGATTCCCATAGACGGTGCCAAAGTGTAGGTGCAAAAAATCGTTAACTTTGAAAAGTCAAAGAACAATTGCCACACACTCAATGAAAATAATGAACATAAGAAAATCAGATTCCACTGTCTCCCTTTACTTGAGGTCCAAACCTCTATTTATACAGGTTTGTGGATGAATTAGGGTTGGACTCGCATTATTTGCTCTCCACGATCCTTCCATAGTTGATGGTTTCCTTCTACAATTCTTCCATATAAGAATTCTACTATAATCGCAACTCTAGTGGTTAATGAAGTACACAAATGGGCTTTTTATTTCATGGATTATGACTTAATGGGCCGAAGATGGACAATTTAGGCTTGCATTCTTACATGGCAGGCTGAGAGATGACGTCTTCCCTTTCTTTAGGCTTACTTCTTTAGGCCTTCATAATTGGGCGGCCCAAGAGAAATATTGTATAAAATTTCTCTTGATGAAGTGGTTGACTGTTACGGGGTTTGGACGTCGACAAGCCCCCTGACAGCGATGGGATGCTGTCAGCATGCACCCTGACTCTGATTGGACAGTGAGATTTTTTTCCCCCACAGCTGCATAGAATTTGAGTTTCGGAATTGGAATTGAAATTGAAGAAAAATTTAGTTCAATTTTTTAAGTTACTTTTTCTCCAATTCTACTAATTACAATTCTCAACTCCAATTTCGTGCAACGAAACATAGCCTAAAGAATAAATAGGGTAAAATGCACATGCCTCCGAATATAGAAATGTTGTTTCCTTATTTTAGGGCCTCGTCTTTAAAAAAATAAAAATAAATAAGAAAACTACTCATTCTCCCGTAATTCAAAAATATAGAAATCATTGTTCAAGATGGACTGAGCCTCTCA